GTAATTTTTTTGGAGGTTTCCCCCATTTACGGGGAACGAGGGAATTTTTTTCAATTTTTAAGGGTAATGTCTTCGACTAGATACGATTTGTGATCTTTTGACGTATCATTGAAAGAAATCGGTCTAGTGAGAGCTGAGAAAAAGTAGCAATAGACATAAAAAAAAAACGCATCATAGTAAAATTAATACCTTCTCCGCTTCGCATTGAAGCTAAAACAGAATCTTCAAAAGTTCAAAAATTACATTTTGTATAGAAAAGTTACTTTTCCCTCCTTGTAAGCAGTTAATGGGTCATATTTTCAAATAAAATATATGATATAATAGGCGCGTATCTCGGGTATTTCCATAAAAAAATTCATTTTGATTTATGAATTTTTCAAAAAATTATAGAAATTTAAAGACAAGGAAGAAAAAGATATTTAATGATTTCTTTATAGATAATCTTAATTTACGAAATACGAGACAAGTTTTTAGTGTATTTAAAACTACAATTTGTCATTTTTGAACGTATTATCAGGAAATAGACTCAAGATCCGAAAGAAGTTGACGACATACATAGAAATATAAAAAACTAATACCTTCTTAGATTGTTATAAAAAAATGATTTCTTATTATATAATCAAATTATTTTCGGAACGGAATAATTATATTAACTTTTTAATAAATTTCTGCCTGTACGTTTTTATATTATTTCATATTTACATTAAAACATATTCGCGTATTATAACAAAATCAATGCTATATTAAACAACTTTTTGGGTATTTTTTTTAAAGAACTCGAAGAAGTTCTTTACAGTAAAGAAATCACAATATAGCAGAGGCGTAGCCATTGGTAGCTTTAAGGGAAATAACCCCCTCATTGGATAATTATTACTATAAATAGTATATGGCTTTGGCGCTAATAAGAACACGTGATAAGCTAAAAAAAAAGTCCTTAGCCCTCCATGTAAAATCTTATTTCGTAGATTTTTTTAATTTGAATGAAAACACTTATAAATTTAAATATGACGTTAATGCGTTATTCTAGCTCAAAGGATAAGACTTAGAGAAATTTTAAGTACATATTGTTCTTTAAGACCCCTTCCGCTATAAAAAGTTTAAAATTGATTTCTATTAATCTTATTTAGGATTCTGTGTTAAATTTATTTCAAAGTTTCAACTTACAATATATAAGTGCCAAAGTATTTTAAATACCTTAAGTTTTTTTTAACAAAATACTGGCTAATATAATTATAAAACAGCTAAAATTGTTGTATAACATAAATTAAAATAATTATTTTAATGAGGTGGCTCGATCTGGTGATTTAACTTATATATTCAAATAATGATGTAAAGGCAAACCGGAAGCCGGTTCAGGTTAGCAACTAGCATTACTATCATAAAATTAAATTTAATCAAATTAATTCTGTTAAGGGTAATTTTTCGTAATGTAACATTCCTATAGTTAATTTGTTATTCAACCTTCGAATTTAAACCTTCGAAATTGAAAAATGACACGTTATAAGATTACAACTTTAAAATTTTGATTAATAATCATTTTTTTTTTGAAACGTTGTGAATTGTAGTTCAATAATAGTGATAAAAAAAATTATTTAAATTTATCTTAGATTTTTATCTTTAATAAAGGTCATTATATTAATTAATACTTATAAAATAAATTTTTGAAATTAAAAAATGTTTTCTTTATACTTTTTTAATTGAATGTGTCAATTAAAATTTTTGTAAATATCTTTAAATACCAACAAAAGTTATATACTCCATTAATTACCTAAAACCCAACCAACAATAAATTAACTATGAAACCTTCAAGTTATCACGGAAGCGACATATTTTTACCTCTGTCCGTCACTGTTGGACTTAGTGTAGATTTAGTAAGTATTTACTAAAAGTTTCATATATGATATTTTTATCTCATGCGCTTATTTATTTTCATATAAAAAAAAAATCTGGAAATAAAGCTATAAAATTCACTAATGTAATCTAGTAAATCAAGATAACAGCCTATATTAACTACTTACTAATTATACTAAATATGTAATTAATATACTTTATTCTAAGTATTATCAATTTATAGTAAATTTTTCTCTTTAGGTAAATTTTGTTGTTTGTCAATTAACGGCGTTATGTATAGCACCAATAATGTATATTTACCTCCCACCAAAAAATCAATACTATATTATTCTTAGAGAAATATTTGGACTCTTGATTGGATTGAACATGGCATATATTTGTTTTGGATAGTAATATATATTATATTATATTTTTATTTATTTCTTTAAACATCAAAACAATATTTTTTAATATCCTAAAATTGTAAAATAATGATAATTTTGTTTAGTTTTGTTAAAAACTTTTTTAAATTTGATTTCAAATTTATCAATATTTATTTACACTTACTTATGGTAAGTGTATGTTTTTAATCTATCAGTTATATTATACTAAAAAAATATTAACAATAATTTTTATTTTGTAGCCAAATGTTTCATCTCATTCTTTTACCTAGTATTTGTTATATTGTTATTATAACACAAAATCCAAATATGATACACAAGTATGTAAAATTTTCAATTATGAAACATAAATAATTATATATATATATTTAATATTTAATTTTTAGAGTTGTATTGCTTGTGTGTTGCCTTTATCTATCTTTATTACATATCTATAGACAAATTTATGAGTATGGTTCATATACACTAGATATAACAGGTATGCATCATTTAAAAAATGAATAATGAATGTTGTAATTAATTTTTTAAGAAAAAAATATAAAAATATGATTTTGATTAAAGCTTACTCTTTCTATTAAAATAAATAAATATAATAGTTGTATTAATAATAAAAATACTATGAAGTATATAATTATGTAACATAATATTTTTTTTTACTATTTAATAAAAATAATGTGTGTAGTACATAAACTAAACATTTTTTAAATTAATTTATTAAGTTTACAAATTTATAAGATCTGTTAATGTCTTTTTCATTGTCTAAGGATATATAATTATTTATTTTCTGAAATTTAATTAAAAAATGAGATTACTATTTTATATTATGTTATTATGTTTGAGATAATCAAAAATTATTTATCCTTAGGTGACAAAAGCCCACTATTAGATCATTTGATTTTGTAAACTTAATAAATTAATTAAATGAATTTTTAATTTAAGTAATATGCATATTATTTTCATTATTATATTTTGAAAAATTTTTCTCAGTCTTCGTAATAAGGAAAAATGTCCTAAAAAGTTATATTTATTTTAAAACAGTTGATTTTAATTTTTTGATTTTTTTAGTTTTTGCTTAATATTGAAATAACTATGAAAATTGGAAGGATTTTTAAGATATATATTTTTGATATTATTTAATACACTTGCTTTGTCGAAAACAAAATTTTTTTTGAAAATCCAATCTTAAACAAAATTACAATGATATAAGACCCAATTCTTTGATTGTTCTTATTTGATTAAATTAAAAAAATTATTTTTTACAAAAGTATAATAGATTAAAATGGAATTAATATATTTGTTATGAGTTGAGCTTAACTTTACTTTAATTTTATTGAATTATGTTTTATTATATACTTTTCTTTTTACTTATGGAAAGAATTTTTAGACAATTTGATTAGTTTATTTGAAAGTTTGAATATACTCAAATATTATGACCATTAACTTAAAATTAAGCCTTATATTAAAAATGAAATTTTTAATTATAATAAGTATCTTATTATATAATATTAGGTCCAATAATGGTTATGGTGCAAAAAATAACTGCTCTTGCTAGTGGTTTACATGATGGACTAGTATTTGGAAAAAAAGAACAAACAGATCTACAAAAACGTTACATGATAAGGTATTATATTACAATATAGTAATTCACTTTAATTAAAACTTAAGTATATTCTAAAATAGAATGTGAAATATTTTAAAAATAAATTAAAAGAAGTATACATTAAAATATAATTACTTTTTTAGCTTCAATGCTAAGCTGAAAAGGTATTAATTTTACTATGATGTGTTTTTTTTTTAATTAAAAATTTTTTTTTTTTTGTGTCTGTTACCACTTTTTCTCAGCTCTCACCAAACGGATTTATTTCAACGATACGTCAAAAGATCACAAATCGTTCTAGTCGAAGACATTACCCTCAAAAATTGAAAAAATTTCCCTTGTTCCCCGTAAATAGGGAAAACTCCAAAAAATGACAAATTTAAAAATTGCTAATTTTTTGAAATTTTTTCAAATATTTTTACTTAAAAGTGCCATAACTATTTAAAAATGAAAAAATCAATATAATTTTTTTTATATAGATACATGAAGTATTTACCTATCATTTGATATATTTTTTTTTATAAATCTGACCCTTTAACTGCCTACAGGAGGGATTCAAAATGACAAATTTTTTACAAAAAATTAACTTTTTCAGCCTAACTTTTGAAAGTGTTTCAGAAATACTGACATTTTTATATATACTTTAAATTAATGTCAATGTAATATACTTTATTATAGAAAAAAAAATTTCGGATTTTATTTTGTCTTCATGATGAATAAGGTTACCGTATGCTATTTTTGTGTTAAAATTCTCAATTTTATATTTTACATTTTTAACTTTAAAATTCTATAACTTTTTGAAAAATGTATAGATCATTATAATTTTTTTAAGATAAGTATTATTTTAAAAATTAAGCGACTAAAATTATATTTATAATAATTAATCTTTTTTCAGAAAAACACCTTTACCATTAAATTATATAAGTTATCTTTTAAGTTTTCAAACTATTTTGGCTGGACCCAATGCATTTTTTGGTGATTACATGGATTTCTTAAAGGGTACTAATTTCCCAGAGAAATTACCAAAACAGGTATTTTTATGTCAAATCAATATTTTTAACTTCGAAATTTTATTTCTAAATTGTATATAATAGTATTCAATTTTACTTTATATTAATGTTATTTTAAAAATATTGACAGTCTAGTATTGAAAGTAGCATAAAAATAAAATCAGAATTTATAAATAATTTGTCCATATTCAATTATTTGACATGATATTAAAATGTTTCTTTGTCAAATAAAAATTCTAATAATAATATTTTTAAAAATAATAGTTTATAAAAATAAATATATTTTTCAGAATGTATTTTTATTACATAAAAAACTTGAATTTAACATGACATGTATAGTCTATGATTTATTGCGTAAAAGAAGTTTTAAACGAGTGAATAAAAGAATAATTTATTAGAAATTTACTAATATATGTGAAATATAAATTGTTAAAAAAATTACTTTTATAAAAAAAAAAAAATAATAATAATTTTACTCTCCTGACAAATACAATTTGTATAAATTATGTTAAGCTAGACCCTCAATGTATGCCCTAAAGTAATGCTTAACGGCAGTTCCAGGACGGCCCACAATAATGCCGACTGTGGGAAAAAAAAAGACTCAATCTAATGTAAAATAAAATTATGAATTTTTACTATAGATAATTTTATTTTTTTTAGGCAAAAAGTGCACCATCACCTCTGTTAAGTGTTTTGAAAAAACTGTTTTATACTTTTTTGTGTTCACTTGTTATTTACTTTATTGTTCCAATGTATCCTGCTTCTACGCTAACTAGTAAGATTTAAGTATTTAACAATAATAATAGTATACAAACAAAAACTACTTACAGTAACAATATAAAAAAAAATTTCCAGGTGAAACATTTTTAATTGAGACTCCCTTGTATTCGAAAATTTGGTTTATTTTTGTTATAACTACTTTAACAAGATTTAAGTATTATTTTGCTTGGACACTGGCAGATGCAGTTTGTAATGCTTCTGGATTTGGGTTTAGTGGCTATGATGATAATGGTGATCAACAGTGGAATTTATTAGATAATATAGATATTAAGGGAGTTGAAGTAATTTTGTTTTTCTGTATATTTATAATTAATTATATTTCTTTAAAGTATATGATTAAAACAGTTATTTTTAGAAAAGTTTTATCTTTGTTAATTTATTTTGTTTATCATTAAAAGTTATATCTAATGATGTATTTTTCTAAAATTTTATAAAGAGTATTCAATGAACTGTAGAAATGTGCAATTTAAGTATATTTATTTTTTAATGATAAACATTAAAGATTTATTACAAATAAAATTAAAAATTATTATAATTCATATTTTGTTTACAGTTTGGTGTCAATTTTAGAGCTACAATTGATGCTTGGAATAAAGGCACTAATTTATGGCTCCGTTATGTTATGTATGAAAGGGCTTCACCAAAGTATAATACTGTGTTAACATATACATTATCTGCATTTTGGCATGGTTTTTATCCCGGGTATTATGTAACTTTCTTAACTGGAGCACTATTCACAAATAGTGCTAGAATGGTAAAATATTATAAATTTATAACTATAAATTATTAATTTATTTTATGAATGTATTGTAGGCTCGAAGATGTTTTTGGCATAGATTCCAAAAATCCATACCAATTAAGCTGGCTTATGATGCTGTCACAATACTTATAACTAGGCTTTCATTAGCCTATATGACTTTTCCTTTTATTTTGTTAGAGCTAATGCCTGCTTTGCGTGTTTACTGGTAATGTTAATTTTTTATTAAAGAATATTTTTGTAACTTTTTTACTTATTTATATTAAAAAAGGGTTAATTTTTTCAGGTATCTTAAATTCTATTTACATATTATGGCCCTTTTTGCAGTTTATGCACTACCATTTATGGTTCCTCCACTTAAAACAATCCGAAAAAAAGAACAGTAATAACTGGATTTATATAACAAGTTTCAACAAACATTGAATAAACCAATGACTTTTTTTTATATGATTATATGAATTTTTTTTTATATACAATATGATTTAATTAGTCAATTAGTTAAATATTGTTTAAAATATAAGTCTTGTTTGAATAGAAAAAGTAAAATATATTGTTACAATCTATAAATTTGTTATAAATCTTATAGTTTTATACATTATGTATGGCTATAAAAAATATTTTTAATTGAATAGCTTAAAACAATGTCCATAAATTATTTTGTTCTAGCTAATTTTATACAATTGAAATATGTTTTAATGTCTATTCTTTAATAATTTTTTTTATTTATTTTATATTTTTATTGATAATACTTAATATTTAATTGCATAGAAATACCAAATTGAAAGGCGTAGTGCTACTACTAGATAAATCTATATTTTTCAAAATATAACTTATTTTACAAAATAATTTTTTTCTTCACTTGTTAATTAATTTATACAAAATTTTACAATAAATTTTCTTTGATTTGTAAACATTGAACATCAGTCAAAATTGATTGTTGATATAGAAATAAATGTTGAAATTTTAGTGTCTCAAGTCCAAAACTAGTCCAGTTGGGTAATAAGTATCTGGCAAATAGTTCTAAACAATTTGGTGTTTCGGGTAGAAAAGATGATAATACATCTGAAAAATATATTTGTATGATTAAAACGAAAAATAACTAAAGATTTTGCAAAAAAGATTATTGACCAGTCATTTAATCATTTTTTTAGCTTCGATGCGAAGCTGAGAAGGTATTGGTTTTACTATGATTTTATTTATTTATTTTTTTGTGTCTGTTACCACTTATTCTCAGCTCTCNTGTCTGTTACCACTTTTTCTCAGCTCTCACCAAACAGATTTCTTTCAACGATACGTCAAAAGATCACAAATCGTATCTAGTCGAAGACGTTACCCTCAAAAATTGAAAAAATTTCCCTTGTTCCCCGTAAATAGGGGAAATCTCCAAAAAAATTACAAATTTAAAAATCGCTAATTTTTGAAATTTTTTATACTTAAAACTGCCATAACTTTTTCAAAATTGAACAAATCAATATAATTTTTTATTATAGATGCATGATATCACATTACCTTTCATTTAGTATATTTTTTTTATAAATCTGACCCTTTACCTGCCCATAAGGTGGGATTTAAAATGACAACTTTTTCACAAAAATTTTACTTTTACACTTAATTTTTGAAAATGTTCCGGAAAGTCTGACACTTTTATATATATCCTAAATTAAAGCTAATGTAATATACTTTATCATGGAAAAAAAAATTTCGGACTTTATTTTATCTTCACGGTGAAAATGACTACCGAATGCTATTATTGTGTGAAAATTCTCGATTGTATTTTTTACATTTTTAACTTTATAATGCTATGACATATTGAAAAGTGTATGGACAACATTATTTTTTTATGAGAAATAATATTTTTTAATAATCCCTTTTTCATTCAGGATATTAATAAGAAAATAGCAGATCATGTAGCTTTTGGAATAATCCACCAATTTTTTAAAATTAAACACTATCTAAAGATTTGCATCAAAGCGTTTTTTAATAGTGATTTTAATCACTGTCAGATATTACATTATACTTGATCCAATTATGCCACGTCACCACTGTGCCGCGACCCCTCTGTGCTGGATTTTTATTTTATAAGCTAGTTGAATATGTATGGTGCCATTAAAAAAAAGTATAGTTGACATCCTTGTAAGGTATAAGGGTTAAATTAAAGAATAATTTTCTTAATATACTTATAATTTTAAGAGAAATCACCTATGTATATATTTAGATGCAATCTGAATGATCTAGAGCAAACTTAGTTTACCTTAACTCTGTCACAGCCTCTCCAAAAAAGATGAAAATTACATGTAAATTTATAAAGAAATATTTTTAAAAAAAGAAGAATTTAAGTTTTATATTTTGTTCGAATTACACCAATGTATATATATATATTTAAATATTAAACAATTGATCGCTCCAAGTTTAAAAATGTTAACTATTTTTTTAGTAAGAATTACTGTGTATCTTTACCTGTTAAAGGAGGTTTATGGGAATGTACTGAACTTGGTATACTAACTATAAATTTGTTATCTTCTGGGTTTTTAATAACAGAGTTAATATTACGTTTTCTTCCAAATATTATTCTTTCATAAGGCTGTTTACCAGGAGGTTGAGTAAATTTACAAACATATTCCCCATTAACAGTTACCTGAAAATGTAGATGCTACTTTACAAATTTTACTATAAACAATAATGATATTCTGTATAATTAATATTTAATTAAATAAATTTTATTTATTAATAATACAATTACTTACATTGGGATGCTTAGGATTTTTTCATAAGAGGATTATATACAAAAAGTAGAGTTGGCACAATGTCAAATTGACCAAAGAAATTTAGACTAACCATAATCTGGTTAAAAAAAAAATTAAATATCTGTATTTAAATTTTATTATACAAAATAATAAATAATATTTTTCCGAGAAATTTAGAACAATGAAAAATATATATGAATTGTACCTCTCTGAATGTAATATACTATCTATTTCTAGAACAGCAATAACAGAGTTATGTGGCATTTCAGTTTTATAATAATACTATAAAATTAAAAAATAGATTTGTAGTTTTATGGAAGACAGTTACTATATATTCTTCCTTTTGAATTATAAAAAAAATTGGTATTATATGAATAATAAATATTGTATTAGCTAACTTAGGTTATCAGTAAAAGTTATTACTATTTTAAGTAACTAGTAACTAAATTTAATTAACTATTAAAACTTAGTAAATTATAAATTATAGCTCAACTCTATTTTTTTAATCTAACCTAACATCACATATTTGAAAAACTTGCCAGCTTAAACTTTCAACTTTTTAATGTGTTAGTGCACATCCTCAGAAAAAGCAAAACAAAATTTTCATAAATAATAACTAAATGTGCATCAAAAGAAATTTTAATGATAAAAATTCAAACATAGAATTAAAGTTTTTTTTTGATCTGATTAAAATTAGTTAAAACTCTTTGGTTAATTAACTAATTTTTGACTGATCAATTGATATTGTAAGAATCTCAAAAATTACTGCATAATTGGTAATTATTTTAATACTATTTTTTACTCAATTTCTCTTAAAATATCTTTTGAAAATTTTTTTTTTGGTTTTGTAAGTTACATATGTCTCTCCATTTACCTGTTATAAAATAATTCTTAGATTCATCCCTTATATCTATGAAGTAGAATATGATATAATTAAGGAAATTACTGGCCTTACCAATACTTTGGAAGATATTTGAATTTTAAAATATAGACTATAAATGTGGAACCTATAATTTTTATCATTTTTGTCATTTCTCAGCACCACTCTTCCTTACACCAAATTACAAATATGTGAATATCTTCCAATACACGGGTCTAAACGTTATCATTGATCAGTCATTTATTAAAAAAAAATTTAATAAACTTATTTTTAGAAAGTTGAGTGGGTACCATAAAAAATCACTTTGTATAATAATTATATTATTTTTATTATAATTATAATACAATTCTTAAATAAGTTAAAGCATGTGTTTATGTTGCTAGATATATGTACATATTTTTGAACCTCCTGAGAGTTACTTGTAACACTTATTTTTTTTTCAATATATATTATATCAACTAAAATTATAAATTAACACATAGATTTATCCACAAAAATAAATTGAATTAATTGTATATTATGTTAGAATAATAATTTAACTTTTCTTTTTAATTATTTACTTTTATCCAATACCAAGTAGCAACATACGACACATCCCAAGCTGGAAAAAAATTATTTATCAACGAATTTATATGATTTTGTGAATTTGTACACCATACACTAATAAGTCCATCTGGAGCAAGAATCTGACCAATTGGTAATTTTTCCAGATCAGTATCAAGTATCATAGAATATCTGACAAGTGTAGAAATAAAATTTTAAGTAAATATTAACTTCATTATGGTTATTGACTTACCCTTCGTCATATATTTTTTTTTTTTTTCTTTTGATGTACTTATTAGTCCAAGGTGGATCCATCAAAATTAAATCATACTTTTCATTGTTTAGTTTATTCAAATTGTCAATATCATCACAATAGAACTTACAAAGTGGAGGGAAAATGTATTGATTTGAGATATAAAGAGTAGAATTTTTATTTTCTCCAAAGCATATTTTTTTTTTTATTGTCTTGTTGTAAAACTTATTAGATGCAAGTCTAGCACATAAATTATTATCATTCTTATTAGAAATTTGTGAAAATATTTTTGTTTCGTTTTTTACTTTTGATATAAATAATCTGATCTTACAATGTAGCTCATCTTCCTGTTAAACAATTTATAGCATTCAATATAAATTTTGAAGGTGTTAAAATGAATATAATTGTCAACCAAATGACTTTTTTATCTTAATATTATAAACCAAGTTATAGCAAGGTAAGCAAAAAAAAAATCTTCAAATTGTTGAACTATGGATTCTTATTTAAAATTTGTAAACCTCTTATATGTGCCAAAGACCAAATAAAAATTGTTTTATTAAATGGATTAATATCAATAATAATAATTAATATTAAGAACTATATGGGCTCCCATCTCAAGAAAATGCTACAAAAAAGGAATGAGAAAATTAAAATAGTAATTCTTATTTAAAAGATATTCAACTAGGCTAATAGAATTCGAAATGGACTCTGGGTCGTTTTTCTTCTTGAATCTAGCCTTGATTATTATAATATTAAATAATTACTTCTATAAATGTTTTTTTTCTTTTCCGCTTTTTACTTATTAACAAACAATTATTGCTTTCATCATCATTACATATATTTTGATTATCTCTATTGAATGGTTGATTAATGTGGAAGAAATGTTTATAAAATAAATCCAAGTTATTCTGCTCAGAGATGGTATTATACAACTTAGTAATAAACTGTTCATGAGATATAAACCATCCTTCATCATTTTTATATAATATACTCATTATTTTAAAATTAAATACAGTGAAATAAAAGTACAAATTGTTACTAGTTATTTAGGTAAAAATATTCATTATTTTGAAAGTAAAAAACTATATATCAAACCCAACTATAATAAATAAATTAAAATTAATATGATTTACAATAGCTAATTCATTAATAACATAACAATATTTAAAACAGATCTAAAATAATCTTAATTAAGCACAAAAATATGTAGCTCAAACGAATCATGATCTAAAATTAATAAAATTTTATCTTAGTTCGTGATAGATCATTAATTTAAATTAAATTACTGACAATTTATGATAAGATTTATTTTTTCATGGAAAAGATATATTATCATATTAAGATAACAAAATTCCAAAGTTGGGCGTCATGTTTTACTCTAATAATATTTTTGTTTATGCGTATTCAACTAATCAAAATTATTATTTTATATAGACTGAGTAACAAGTGGTACTATTGTAAACAAATTTAATTATTAATTTAAAATTCATTAAATATAACAGTTGTTGTTCCTACACGTAGAAGTCAAAAGCTATAAATGTGGTGATTTTAGATATAATTTTCAAAACAACAAGTTGGTGTAAAAAAATTGAAATACAATTTTTTCTTATTTATTAAAAAAATTTGATTATATATTTTGTTGGTAGTATGTCTGTAGTATTGGATGATCAATATGAAGTCACTATAAATCCTTTCTATAAACCACACGAACCTAGTGATTATCAACCATTTAAAACAACTGTGTATGTATGTGCTATTTTTGCTGTAGCTATAATAGCCCTTAACGTTTTTTTCTGTTGTTTTTCTAAACACCGAAAATATTGGAGAAATAGTGAATCTGGTATGTAAAAGTTTTTTTTGTAAAATACATTAAAATGAAATAGCAAAAAAAAATGTCTATTATCATTATTTAGGTAACCGATATATATTACCAATTTGGATTAAGACACCAGCTAAACAAGCACCATTAGACCTAAAAGAACTCGAAACTAACTTTTCACAAACTAAACCTGTGTATGACTCTAGTGTACCTCAAGAATTTGTTGAACTTCATAAGAAAGAAAGTGACATTTAAAAAAAATATAATATGTTTTATATATTTTATCCATTAATATTTTTGCTAACCATCATTGTATTGGCATTCATAATCACCCTAGTAAGGTATGGTGAACAATTTTGTTCTATTCACAAAAAACATGCTGTACACAATGATAATCATGGGGGGTATCGAGAAGAAATATCCTATGTTTAATAATGTAAGATTGAATTGTAGTGCCAACATGTAGTTTAACATTTTTTATTGTGTCCAATAAGTGGACTATAGTAATATAGTAATTATACAATAATTAATATTCTAATCACATAGACTACTTACATAGAAGTATTATTTTCAAAAATATTCTATTTTACTGTAATAAATTTTGATAACAAAGACAAATTTTATACAATGATAATTTCTTTGTTAAGCTTAAAACTAAAATTTTCACATTTTTCAAATTGTCGTTATTTGATGCCTCTGGTCTGAAAAATTAAGATAAATTATTATGTTAAGTATTTACATTTATTTGAACAAACATTTTAATATTAAAAAATTTCAAATATCATAAAATTATTTTTTAATTAAATAATATCATATTCACATACTTACATTTTAATGTTAACTATAATTTGAGCGTATTCTAAATGGTACAATTAATGACCACATGTAAACAAATCCGTCCATGTTGTGATTATTAATTTATTGCTTTATATTAAGTAATTTATACTGATAATTAGATTATTATAACAATATAAAATTAAGTAATTAACAAAATTGTATAACATTATGTTTAATTATAATATTGCTATTTAAATAGTCTGAAATTTTATATTTATCTATTTTAAATAATATAATTTTGTATTGTCATTTATTTTTATTTTATGTTCCACAACATATTTTTAATGTAATTAATTTTTTAATAAATTATATTTATTTATCTTAGTTATAGGATTTTTATTTTGCTTAGAAAGTTATAACAAATTTTTATCTGTAGTTAAATGTTGTACTGATGGAAGTTTTATTATTTGTTAGTTAATTAACTTAATTTGTTTCTAAAAAGTGTATTACTGAAGAATTGTTCTAATTTTATAAAAATAATATATATATATATATACAGAGTGGAACAGATCTAACTGACAACTCATATAACTTATGATCTACATAACATTTTTTTATTCAAATTTGTTTTTTAATTTGTAGATAGCCATTTTATAGATAAGTTTTAAAGAAAAATTTTAATACCAAAAACTCATACTTTAATCCAGTAGTTACGTTTATACAGCATTTTTAATTTGTTAAATTTTGATTTTTTTTTACAATTTTTCTATAGTATTAAAAAAGAGATGGAGTGATGCTATTGAATGTGATATGAGGACAGCTGATGTGGGAGATCGTGTCAAGTGGAAGTTTAGGATAAAGGTGGGCGATCCAAGTAGTTAGGATTAAGGCGAGATAGAAGAAGAAGAATAATTGCGAGTGTTCCGTGGTTAGCCAAGTTAAAAGTGATAACAGTTATTAATTTGTGTGATTCTTTCATTGTAATCATATTTTATTATAGGATATTCCTTGTTAGGAGATTTGATAATAAATGCACTTATTCACTATTATTCACGTTTAAATGTATGATATATGAACTTATTTACTTAAAAACTCAACATGTTTTAGACAATGTTTCTATAATTTTTTTTTAATAATCTTAATTATACTGCTACTTGTGTTTTTATGGAAAATTAATCGTGTACTGTTACTACTAAATAACATAATAAGTGTTTACTTTATATAATATCGACTAACATTTGATACCATAGGAAAAGGGTAATAAAAATAAAAATTTAACAAACTTAAAAATGCTGTATTAACGTAACTACTAATTAAAATAAGAGTTTTTGATATCAACATTTTTTTTTTAAAACTTATCTATAAAATGACTATCTTCAAACCTTAAAACAAATTTAATAAAATCTAAATTTTTAAAATATTTTTTGTAATTGCAAAAAATAACATAGAGCGTATATTAAATATAGTTCTATATTGTAAAAATTGATTAAAAAAGAAAAAATTATAAAATGTTATGTAGATCATAAGTTATATGAGTTTTCAGTTAGATCTATTCCACTCTGTATACATTCTATATCGATTATTTAAAAATAGTGGACTCCATGAATGTAAATACTGGGACCCGCACATCAGGTTTTTGCAGCATTGCAGACACTATTCAGTTTTATTGGATGCCTTTAATAAAATGATATTCAATGATGAAACTTCATAAAATATTTATATTATATAAATAATGTTGAATTAAATAATATTCTTAAATAATTTATACTGTGAGCAGGCCCGCATTTAGGGGGGGGCATTGGGGTCATTTACCCCGGGCGGCAAATTTTGAAGGGCGGCAAAAATCTTAATAGGTATACAATTTTTAAAAATTAATTATTTTTATTTAATTTTAAATTTTTTCAAACAGAACAATTTATTTTTATGAAACAAAAATATCTATTTCTAAAAAAAAATATTACTTTATTATTTTCTAATTTAAAACGTGTACAAAGATATAAATGTAAAAGAAAATATATCAAAGCTGTATAACAACATAGACTACAGTTAGTAGTTAGATAATAGTATTGATTATACATAGTAATTTTTATAATCAACAGCACTATAAATAAAGTAGGCGGCAATTTATTTGATTCATGTTTTTATCTAATTTTAACAAAGTATTGATATTTTCTCCCTTAAACTGGTTTTATGGATGTCGTCGGCCGTTGATAGTCGATTATTATTGGAATACTAAGAAAGTTAAAACACAATAATTTGTCTCATTTTTCACAAAATTACTATCTAATAATGTCACACTAATAATGTGTTATGTACAGACAGCTCATTGTGTTTAGTACTCGACTACAAGTGACCGAGTTAATATGTTGAGGTGTTTTTTTAGCTTCGATGCGAAGCTGAGAAGGTATTTTATTTGTATATTTTATTATTTAATAACGTATTAAAATGAGTGATGGCAGAAAACGTTTAAGTGGAAGTGCTTATAAAAAAGTTGCTAAATTAAAATTAGAAAAAGAACAAAAAGTCATTTCTCAAACCGCAAAATTAACTTCATTTTTTGGCAATCAATCTCCAATTCGCCAAGTGAAATAGAGACTACAGCTGAACAGATTTTAAATGAGTCTAGTGATAAAAAGTAATTTAAAAATCAAATGTTAACTTTTGTACGTTATTTCAGTTTTATATAAATGAAAAATTTTATAATTTTTTAGTGAACATCCTCTACATAGTATTTTTGAAACCATGGCAAATGAAAATCAATTAATTGAATATTCGGAATTATTAAATACGCCAACTAAAAAACCCAATCCAACACTTTTGGGGGGCGGCAAAATTAAGTACACCGGGCGGCAAAATTCCTAATTGCGACCCTGACTGTGAGCATTATTGAACAAATTTTTTTTCGATTTATCCTAAAAAAAAATTCTTTACAATTTCTTAAAATAAAAAAAATATATCATCTTTCAAAGTAATTAGTTTGAGTTCTACCAAAATTTTTGGGAGTTATTATTTCATATTTTATGGGCTAAGGCATTTAAGAGTATATTTTCATGATGTTTGTATATTAATACATTTTTTCTAATAAATAAGAAACAAAATTATTATTAACAATATTCCAAGACAATAGGATCTAAATTGACACAATGGTTTTGTTTGAAATATTAATAGATTAGTCTCCAGTTTTATAATAACCTATCGATGTCAATTTAGAAACAACGGATGATAATAATTGTAAATATAAACCATGTAGACATTTATTCTGAAAAAAATATATTACCGCTCCTTAAGAAAATTTCTAAGTTGTGCCTATCATATAATATGCTATGAGTAATACATATTATTTTTAGTTGTTCTGATCCTAATTCGACATAGAAAAAATATTTTAAAAATTGAAATTTTATTGCATATTTCATACATTTTAAGAGCATATTGTTCTGAATTTTAGACTATATCTGCATATTTATTTAATATTTTTATTAAATTCATAGTCACAGTTGTAATACAATCATTTTTTTGTAGGACAAGCTTTTAAAGCTGTCATTGAATATCCATTTGAATAACCAAATCCAACAATATAGTGTATATTATGGGCGTATTTAAAAATTCATAATGAAGGAGGCACGAACACAAAATTTGAATGGATAAGTTATCATAAGAACTCATTATGACCATTATTTTCTGTTGTTATAATCAAAGGAAAAGAAAAAACAATCAACATGAAAATTTGTATCAGTACATCATTGCTAATGGGTGGCAGGAAAATATCTCCCGTGAACCAGTAGAATATCGCAATACGCTATTGATGTTTATTAAAACAAAAATCTTCCATTGCATATTGAAAAATTTTTTTTATTGTTTTTATAAAATTATTTTCCACTAGAATTAATAGAAATTATACCTAAGATTTGTAAACATATTAGTAACATATTCAACACAAAACAAGCCTAAAAGACATATTACATTTTACAAGCTAAATGATTTAATTATTTGTTACATAATACAATACACGATTTATAATGCAGAAGTAATTGCAGAAAACAAATGCTTCTCTTTCGTATTGAATTTTTTTATATATTAGAAAAAATACCATAACAAGGTTTATTTACCTATGGAATGGTAGATATTATGTTTTGTAATTAACATAATAACTAATATATAGTATTCAATACTTTACTAGCTAATATATTTAATCACCAGAAATTATATGTATGTACATTAAATCTAATCTGATGATATTATACTACAAAACTGAATTATTTTTTTTTAATAATTTTATTCATACATTTTTTGAGTTTAAATTTTACGTAACATATATAGATAGTGTAAATGTATAATAAAAAATAAACAAATTACATGAAAACAATATTTATCTTATAGTAAAGAAATAATTTTTTTTATGTTAAAATTAATAGAAATTTTATTTAAATGAAAAATAATAAAATTAAGAAATCACAATTAATAAATATATTTCAAAAGAGTTCAGTTAGTTACAAGTTGTTACTATATTTTGGTAGAAAGAGTATATTTCGGTTGAATACATTTTTGATAAATAGGTATGTAGAAAAATGAAGATTGGGAAAATGGAAATGTTTAAACCTTAACGACTGTGTATATAAACGCATATCATATATAATAATAATATCAATGTATTTAAGTTCCGTAGAATTTTTACTGTCTGTTTCGATTCTGCTTGTTTCCTGTAAACATAAAAATCGCCCATTGTAATTATAAGTTAAATTTTTAACTAATTATATGTACTCATAGTCAAATTACAAATTAAGGAGGTTGTGAAAAATAATTANTTAATTATATAATAAAAATTGATCACTTGTGGCTAAATTATTAAGTAAAATTAAAACTATATTAAAAATATTATTAATTTAAAAAACTAAAAAATATTAAAAATATTAAACTTTTTTAGTTTTTTAAATTAATAATATTTTTAATATAGTTTTAATTTTACTTAATTAATTAGCCACAAGTGATCAATTTTTATTATATAATTAAATTATATTTAATTCTTCAACAATATTTTTTAGACACTTAAGAATTGTAAAAATGATGAACATTTCCAAAAAATATTTACATTAAGGTGAGTTAGGGAAGGTATCATTTTTCTGTTGCTTTACCCTTATATATTTGAAGTGATTTATTAAAACTAGCTGTCTTTATTATACAAGGGGTGAAATGGTAAAATTTTGCAGGTAAATAAATATTGGACGACAATTAGAAGAGGAGGAGTAGTAAACATTTTTATAGAAATTCCCCGAAGATAATTCTTAGAGTTTTACACCACTGTTAATATCAATTTCTGTAAATTTTTAGGAGAACAAGAACTAAGTTGGAAATCTCAATCAGTGCAATAATAAAACAAAAACAGACGCCTTAATATTAGCAAAACGAAAACATTTTTCACCGAATGGATTTTATTACATGAATAATACTACCAATGAGCTATTGAATAAAACCATAAACACAAAATCGATAAAATAGACTACTACCGTTTTTCTCCGTGCTCTTCATATATTTATTTATTAGTGCGGACCACATTCAGTAATCCAGTTATTCATAATTAGTACATGTAACGTTGTGATGATCCTCGCTTAATACGTTTCATGTAGTATATTGATAAATGTCATTAAATATTGGACACGATTGCTGTGATAAACAGGAAATTAGTTCGCTTTTAATAGTCTCGTCTCGTTCTGAGAGATTTATATCACCCACGACACCATAATTCATCAATTTAAATTGCATAATATAATTTTACAATTTTAGATTTGTGTCCTACATGTTTATAGTGTATAAAGTATGTATTTATTGTGCTCGAGGAAGTATCGCGTTACTCTCTAAAAATAAAGTAGTCTAATCTAAGGCGGCGATGACATCCCAACGAAATAACGGTAGCGTAAAACATAATTTTGTGAAATTATCTTATAGTTAATCCATTTTCTACAATATCCTGAGGCATATGCTGCTCATTGAAGAATATTTCAAACCTTCAATATTTATGCGAATTTTCGGTCTGTCGATCAATAAATATACAGTTTAAAAGTAATTAAAGGTAACTCTCGACTCGGAAGAGGTCTAAAGCGCAAAAATAAAGTAAAATTAAAGAAATAATTAACGTACAAAAATGGCAATATTCAAAACTATAAGAATAGAAATATTTTTTCGAGTGTATAATTATTTATCATTATTACATCTACTCCTTTGGTTTTTTTTTATTGAAAATTTAAAATAATGTGGCTCATTGGCTTGGTATCAAATATATAGTTGTCATTTCAAAAATTCGTATGTTTAATAAGTGTTTGCAAAAGGTAAATTCAGGTAATGCACAAAGTAAAAAAATAACAAATTTTTATTTAGTTTACACATTTTTGATCGATTTCGATTTGTCTATTGACAGAAGATAATTTTGTATGAAAAATAGTATTGGCATAAAAATAACAAGGTGGTTTGTAGGCATAAATGAAAAGGTAAAATGTTCAAACATTTTTATTATTTGTTTATTTAAACAACTTTATTTGAACATTTTCAACACTATTAATAAATTTAAATTAACCTATACGAATAATTTAAGGAGTTGGATGGATATACATAGATCAATCTGTATTGAGTAGAAACTATGTGATTATTACCTACTAATAGTGCTAAAGTTCAAAGATGAAGATTCAAGTCCAATGATAGACTTAAATTACTAATAAACTTCTGAAGACAAAATCAATAAAAATGTAATCATATTATTTTAAGTACTAATAATTAAAATTACAAGATCGTTTTCTTAAGTAATTTTTACAAAGGAACTTGCATTAAAAAAAATTACTACAAGTTTATTTTAAAATTCCAAAAATGTCACATTAAGAGACAAAATTATTAATTGAAAGCAAAAATAACTAACGAGTTATTCTAGTAAAATTTGATTAGAAATTCTAAAAATTAAGTATAATTGAAAAATTTAATTAATTAACACTACCTAAAGTCCACTTAAAATACAATTTAATATTTTCAATGATAAATAAATTTAGAAAAATAATTTTGAATACTCATTTTATGGAAAATTAAAGATATTGGTGAAATAACTCGTATATCCTCAGTTTTTAAAAATTCATTTTTATAAATAAACACCAGAAAATACCTTACACACGAGTGCAAAAAATAGATATATCCCATAATTAGTCAGCGATTTATAGCAAAAAATTCATCTTTTTTGTTACGTTTTAGCATAGAAAAAAATGATTTTTATAAAAAAAAACTTAGAAATTATTTGATAATTCAAGTAAAAATTTATGCCTTCTTTGTTTACTTTATTTTAAATTTTAAAGTAAAAAAAAAATGAATGGATCATTGAATAGGAATATGGAGTATTTATATTTTATTTAGTATAATTTAAATTATTATTCTTGAAAAATATAGTAATTAATTTACTAATGATGCAATAAAATTTTATCTCAATCAATGGTATTATTTATTTTAAATCTTATAATGTAATGGAATGACTTAGGTATATGCATATTCATATGATTAAAAATGATAAAGTCATGCTATTATACAGACATGCATGGAATTCCCTTTAGTCAAATATTACCTTTGTTACCCCGTCCCTTGCTTTTACATTTTTTCGTGATCTGTCTGGTCTTCTCGCAATTAGAATTTTCTGTGGATGGGTCCTTAAGTGTATCTGTTCTGATCATTTCATTATGTGCATTACAAGGACTCCACGTTCCCTTTGCATATCGGCATGCTAAAAAACACCAAATCAGCCCAAAACATTTACAAAAACCTTCATGCAAGAGTTACATTTACAAAGCTATGCAAGAATGTCATTATTGAAAAATGTGAACGCTACAAAGTTAAAACGCTTAGTGATTCCTTACTGTGATATTTGTGGTTAATTTAAAGTGTTTTTTAGTGTATTAAATTGCATTCACCTTGTATTATGTATTTGATAAGGTAAGATATAAAAATGAAAATTAAACTTTATGATGTATCTTAAATATATTTCAGCATAATAGAACAAAGCAGTCCTGAAGATGTAGAGGAATGACTCCAAATATTTTACCATTTAAATTAATAATATTACAATTTATGAAGTTTTCATAAAAAACAAAATCTTTGTTAAAAGAATCCCCAATTTTAAATGTTTAACTTTATTATACCGTTTCATAATTTTCCATTTTTCATGATCTGTGTTTTCAGATTAGTTCTCTTAAAATGAAATGTACATAATCTAAGTAAACTTTTTATTTGCAATCAACGACTGTTTAGTATTAATATGTTTATTAATGTGCTCTTTAAAAATGTTGATGGAAAATATAACTATAAAAATATTGGCGTTTATTGATTTGAGTACTTAGATAACTTAAGTAGTTAAAATTTAACGCGCTTCTATGCTCAACTCTTACAGATTTTATCATTTTAACTATTAATTATTTTTAGAATACCTATTAATCCAAAAAATACAAAATTGGCATGCTTACTATGAGATATGAAATTTGTAATTAGGGAACATTAGACTTTATATTACCTTTCTTGCATTTCTTTTCAATAGTTTTGATTTTTTCGCAGCTTTCATTGCCTTTTTTCAGAGTCAATTTACGGGTTTTTACATTAGTTTTATCGTCACATGGAGACCATTGAGACTTTTCGTAGTGACAGTTGGAATCTAAGCAAAAAATTAAATGTTTATTTTTATTTCGATTCACTTAATATGTTTGAACTACCTTTTCCACCATTAGCGGCTCTAACTTGGCGGGATAAAGGAAGGTATGACTCTTCATTATTTGCCACATTTGAGCTGACCAAAGAGATTGTCACCAATAACAAACTGAAAATGATGATACTAAAACACTTCATCTGCAAAAAAATTATATTCAAAGTAAAAAATAAAAAATAGACTGAGCTGCGTTTCTACAAAAATAAATGCGCAGTAAGAATTTTATTGTGGTATTCTTGATATTTAACATCGCAAATAAATTTAAAATTAAACTTGTATCAATGTACAAAAAATAAGAAGGAAATATTTAAAAAAAAATAATATCACCCTAATAACATTTTTAAAAAAATAATGTTTTTACAACGTTATTATAACACATTATGTTATAAAAAAGTTTTTATAACATTATTCTCAAAATGTTTATCTGTGTAACAATTAAAATAATTTTTCAAATCACCTTTTTATATTTTTATTAAAAGTACAACGTTATAATATTTATTTTATTAAAAAAAAATTAAAAATTGTTGATTTCACTGCGAGTCACTATTCATCAATGAATCTGAAAATCATTATTCCAGTAAATTTATATAAATAAAATTATAATGAGTGTGACCACAACGATCAGTACTATAAGATTGCGTAATCAAAAAATATTTTAGTAACTTGAAAATATGAGTTTGTTTCATTTTTATGAAGTTGTCATATGCGGTTTATAATAAAAAAAATAAATCACAAATAGACTGTAATCTTATTTTGTTCTAATTTGCAGTTGTTAAAAAAAATTGATCGAAAACGTCTTATTTTCTTTGTTTTATTTTTATTCTAGTAATTTACTCAAGGTTTTTTTTATCTAATGCTTGTTATAAATTATTACTCTATAATATAGATGAGATTTTTTTATTTGGGATCTTGTTTTTCAATTAAAAACTATAATTTTGATGTAAAAAAAATAAGACATAAAATAATTACTATAGTAATTATTGGTAATTACACTATATTTTTTAGAACTTAAATATTTCTAAGTAAATCTTATTAATATTATGCAAAAAGTTTTTTGTTGTTTGATAAGGCTGCTCACGTAAACATAAAAAATAATTCAAGAGTCAAAAGAGCTTTAATCATATCTAAGTGAAATACACCTGTCTATGGATTTAGTGCTGGCTATAACAAAAAAGGTAAGAATGAAATATATTAAGATTTGAAAACATTAAAACAAATTTTCTAACTAAATCCCATAATTTATTTATTTTATATAGAATGAATGAGTAGTGTTACAACAATACATAATTATGGAAAGTAGTATATATAAAAATGCTAAAATCATTAATTATTATCCATAACCTTGTCGTGCTACTACTTTTTAATTTAGTTTCCAAAATGGAACAGATGATCATAAATAAATAATGTTTTTTATATTATATTTAAAATATTTGTTGGGTTTAGTAATACATTCAAAATTTATAATCAACATACTGGTAACATATGTTAGTATATTTGTCTTATATAATTTAATATTTTTTTTAAATGTTAGAAGGTATACACATTAAAAAAAATAGTATTTAACTTCGGTTACGTCCAATGGCGGCATTACTTTATTTTCTGGGAGGCTAGTTTTTCACTCAAAAGGATTATGAGCAAAAAATTAAGGTTTACTTATTCAAGGAACAAAAGGGAAAAAGAACTAATCATGCAAAAAGAAGAACCATGAAGTACTACATGTTATTACAATTAAAATAAAATTTATCAACGTATTAAGATTGCCGTGTTTATATAAGTTAAAAAATAATTAATGAGATTAAGTTGAGCTTCTCTGAATTCTTTCTTATAAGAATTAAAACTGAATTCGTATCCATTTTATGAAATAAATAGAAATTTATATAACATTTTTTTTTTAATAATTCAAGATATTTTATTTTGAATATATTTTTTCAGATAACACAACTGCGTGTTAAATAAAATATAACTTAAGTGTTTGTACAATATTTTTTAGTTAATCAATTACCAATTATTTTGATAACGTCAGGCTAGTTTATACGCAAAACATTAATGTAATTTTTAATTACACGATTATTGAAGTTTGGGAATAAATACGTTTTTAAGTTATTTAAAATAACTGCGCGAAATAAAAATAATAATAATAACATATTAAACCATTTAGTTTAAAATTAATATTTCAACACTTTAAAGAAATCAAAGAAACTGAATAATTATTTTTCGAATAATTTACTATACTATTTTCTTAATCTATATTTTTATAAAATGTTTTACTCATTTCAGTGTATATTTCGAAAAGTAAACAGAAAATATAAGTTTATAAAATGAGAGACATTTTAGTATCATGTGGCATTTAAACCTATTCCACTTGGATGCGAACACGTAAAAATGATCGACAAGCAGATAAAATAGCACTTGATACTTGACTGTTTAAAAAAAAATCCGAACTGTTTGTTTTTGATCATAAAAACTAATAAAAATTCACTTCAAAATGTATGCAATAAATAAAATGCGTTAATTCAAAGTGAATGATGAGAATTTTCATAGCAACAGATTTTAGTGTATCATAATTTATTATAATAACTTAAACTCGGTCGTCTATTTTATACAATACAACTAGGAAATTAAAAAAAACTAGTTAATTCTTGAGGGAATTTTAAAAGTTTACTATTGTCTTCTGTATTATTTAAATTTATAAATAGATGAAAAAGAGATGTATAACTCATAATCTCTAAGAAAATGGTAGCGTCTGGCAATAAAGAAGTCGCGACTGTCAAAAAAAGTTTTGTCGCAGCAGATACAATGATAAACCGCAATATGTAATAAAAATCTATAGCCTAGTCTTGCAGAAGCACAGAGGATTGAATTGAATGGTTGCCAAGTTTATGGTTCATAGTCTATCTATACATGTTTTATATTACATTATAAAGCTGAATAATAAAAACATAAATGTTATCATTTTGAATTGTGTAAATAAGGGTAAAAAAGTTTTAAGGGTCTTAAGGCGGAAATAAATGTCTATTGCACATCCGTGTTTGAAAATAGGCTTTAGAAATGCCAAAAAAAAAATAAATTTGGAAAAACCACTAAAAATGTATAGAAGATGAAAAATGGTTTTTCATTTAGTTTTTCGTCCAAATAATTAAAATTAAAAAATCATTTATTTATATTTTACTATAATGTTATTTGTATTTTGCCATCAACTGTAATTCAAAATTGTATTACTTGTTTTTTCGTTGTAACAATAATTATAATATGTTTCAGTAAATAAGTACGACTGAGTTTCAAATATTGACAAATTCACTAACGTTTTGGTCTGTTGGTTATTATTCATAATAGCGCCGCGGAATAGTTGCATACATATAACTTATTGAATATTTAGTATCAAAACAATTAAAACGTACTGAACAGTAATTATTATTATTATCAGTAGTATATAGATGAAGAATAAGTAGTATATTTTCTATAGAGATTTAGATTTAGGGTTTCTGAGTAAAAATAAAAGTAGAAAATAACTTAATCTTATTTTACACTAGCATCATATTAATTTTATATGCATGTAGTTATTATTAACATATAAACCATAATTAAACTTTTATTATTTGAAAATAAAAAACCATCACAATATAATATATTGTGATAATTTTTTATATATGTGTATATATATATATTATATACAAAATGTTCAGTAAGTAAGGAAACATATGAATTGTTTTAAACAATGAGAACAATAGAAACCCATTTCCTTAATTACTCACACTCTATATAATAAACATATGAGTTTGTTTTGTTTAAAGGAACTTATTTTTAAATTGAAGTCAAGTAAGTTTTAATTTAAAAATATTAAGTAAACATAATTTTTATAGTGTAGCTGATCTGTAGAATTTGAATTAGATACATCAGGATAATCCTAAAGGCTAAAAACGTCAGTAAACAACATCGTTACCGTACATGGAAAGGAATTTAGTAACTGGTCAGTGGAAGCATTTGTGAGTGTAAAAAAGTAGTGAAATCCTGGAGTGGAATAATAATAGAAGGGACTACTCAAACAAACAATAAAAAGTATAAATCTCCGTAAATTATGAATAATCAACGATTAAAGGTCTATAGTTTTTACAAACTAATATTGTTGAAAAAATGTTAAAACAAACTAATGTTAATATCCAACCTAAATACTTATATAGAGTGTTCAAAAAATAAGGAAACAGGTAAATTGTTACAAAAAATGAGAATAATAGAAACACTTTTTCTTACTTACTGAACACTCTAGATATAGAAAACCCCACTATATTTAGAAAAAATAACGAACTTTTTGTCATTTAACTAATGTGTAGACATCAAATTCTACTAAATTTAAAATAAAATTAACACTTAATTATGCTTCAATATCTTTTTTATATTGGTTTAGTCATGCCAAGAAAAATATATTATATTTATTTAAATTTACTATACTTAAACATGAAATCTTTATCTAAATATAATTGTTTTCTATATAATTTTATAAAATCCCTTTCAATAATTACACTGTTGGAGGTTATTGGATACTACCTACTAAAATGACGATGATGGGGATTTTTAAAAATAACTCGATTATTAATACTTTGTAAAACGTCAATAAATGTACTACAACACCTCGCAATTCACTGCTACTAAATAATTAGAAAACAATGATTGTCATAATAGAATGACAAACATATTTTTTTTAATTTTGCATAAATTGATCGCCGTAATAGTATATTTCAAAAACAAAAAAATAGAGTTGCAGCGTCAGTTTTAATATTCAGCTGAAAATATGGAGAGCTTAAATTCGTAGAAACTAAAGAGGTATTTTATTTTTGTATTGTTGTCAGTTCAATTGTTATTTCAAAGACGCCGATGAGTGGAAATTATAATGTTCGAAAATTAATCCAAAAAGGAACGATTAGACTCAACAATATTAAATTGATTGAATTAATTAAAACGTTTCCTATTGGATGGACAACTGCATGTCACAGACACTACACCAATCGCGCAGTATTATTACAATACACGTTTAGTAGTCACGATTGTACTCGTTCAACTCACACTTGGTCATAATTTATATTACACCCAATTATGTACAATGCCTTGAACAATTTAAATATCAGTGCGAAATCCCCTCGGGATTAAGGCTCCGAATACCTTCAGAATTACCTTTGTAAACCCAAAATTCCCTAATGCATCGTTGTGATTTTCAGTATGCCAAACTTCATAGTTAACTGCACAAACATTTTGCTGTGGGATAATTACTGAAATAACTACAAATTGTAAGTTTTTTCAGCTAACCAAAACACTAATTAAAAACTTTCCGAGGTAACTTGAAAGATTATTTCATGGTCTGGTGGCTATAACTACTCTCGAAGTTCTGTAATTGTATTTAAATTTATGACAGTAAACAATCAGAATGTAAAATATTTAGTCAACGATCGATTAATTTTTAAGTAACAAACCGGAGAGCAGAGCTAAGTAAATCTATAGATTTTAACATGCTTCATACTGTTTGCATATTTAAATGTACCGAGTTGTCTTTACAATATTTAATTAGCAAGATAATTTTGAATGGAAATTTTTACCTTAAATAAGAACAGCACGAGGCTACTAAAACTAACATAAAGGCTCACATTAATAAAAAAAAATGTACGCTCGACTTGAATGTTTAATAGTTGGAAGATTCTTTGATGGTTCTTTTGAGATAAACTACGAAACACTTTTGAAAAATTATGCGAATAATGAAATCACCGAAGTTCCACATTAAATTTAATAATATTGTACTAAGTCGGATAATGCTCACGGTGAAATAAGCTCTTAAATAAACCATATTTTTTAATTTAAAGTCTTATTAGAAGTATTGTTTATACTTTTTTCCGCTAGGTAAAAATAATGTCAAAATAACTCTTGAATTTAGATATTTTGGTGTACTACTTTGCAAATCGCTGTTTATTAATCGAGAAGTTATGTTGAAATAAATGAAGGTATTATTGATTGTTTTTAAATGAATTTCTGAGTTTACTGCAGTGTCTATATCACAACTTGAATAGATGTTTAAGGTGATCTGAGGTCAGTGTATGTACCACATATTGGCACATTGTATGGTATAGAGACAACGGTCGTTAAACCATACGATACCTAAGGACGACACCTCAGGTATAAATATTATGATTGAGGCGCCCGATGATGAGACGGCGTCAACAGTGGGATGTCTATGAAGACGATTATGATCCTCTTCAGCACTTCATCAGTTTTTATTACACTATACGCTCATAACCTACAGTCTTAATACATGTTTATAGTTGGTTATTGTAGTATTCGGTCATCGTACTGCCACGGGTGTTCTTTCCACAATAGAACTTCAATGTGATGAATAGGCATTTGACTAAATCCAACAATGGCCTCATACATTGCGCTATTTGATTATGAGCCTAAGTAGACGAGGAAGTGTCGCCATTTTATTCAAAAGACAAATTGGATTCAGGTAGTATATTCACATTATAATGTACGTTTCCATTAAATTTTACAGTTAATGGCGTCAGTCCAGGAATGCCTTCGTCTGGTCGCACATATAGTACCAAACTGCGGTTTGTGTAGTAGTATGAATTAAATAGTGAGGTAATTAACATGGCGTTAATTCGCTAACAGATAACGACAGAATCAAAGTATTCGTAATAAAATAGCTAATAATATTTCAGGTGATATATCGTTAATTTTTTACTACTTCTCCTAGAAAAATAATATGATTTTGAATGGTGACATGAAATGTTTTTGGAAGATGACAGTTAAAGTTAAAAGTTTTTCTGAGAACTGTTAACTAAATTGAGCATTTTGATGATTCATATGTGCTGCAGACGACATTCGAGTAGGTATGTGTCATCACTGTCATCCTCTACTCTACACGACTACAAGATTCTTACATTTAGAACGTTTATAAGCCATGCCGTAATCAATTACGGACTCACATCTCACACGAGACCAATGAACCTCGTGGCTGCTGTGGCAGTCAGCATTAAAAGGATTATTGGTGCGACATGATACCAACCGAACTTGATTATATTTTTTCCTACGTCTGATTGATTTTCTCGGAACAAGTATTACTTTTAAAATAATCTTATATACAACCACTACGTTTTGATTTTATGACCGTCAAATGTGATTGAAATGAAAAACATCATTATAAATGTTTACAAGACGTTTAGCATAATATGTGTTGGAACGTCTAAACGTTCCATATATTATATAAAAAACATCAATGTTGCAGTATATTCAATATGTTTTTAGCAGACATATAAAACAAAATCGCTCTATGTCTATGGCTACTAATTTATCTTTTGCACTTGGCTCGTTAGAAAACATACTTGAACAGAAGACAAATATACACAACATTCTTAGTTCACGCACATGTACTGATTTTAGTTTAGCAATAAACGCGTGGGGGAAAGATAGGAGTAGTAAATCAGCAACAGTTCAGTAGCAGATGCTGCATTGGATAAAATGTTCATTATTGATGATTCTAAATGTTCAACACACGTGTTACTCACTGTAGTTCTGTACTAAAAACACGACGTATTTATTAGAGTATATTTATTGGAGTCGTTATGTTTTGCACATTCATACGGCCAATGTTCGTGAGATAATTTTTTGTTATTTGCATTTACCTCGGTAAAATTAATCATTTTCTGATATAATATTTTATGGATACCCATAGAAAACTAGAAGGGTTAAAAATGAACATACGACTCGAGGGATTTAAACATTTCATGGATATTAGTTGGTATAATATTTTTATTTAAATGTCGTCTGTTTATCAAAAGATTTAGAGTTTATAGTGTCGTAATTCAGAGATAGACAATTCGATATGATGCCAATAATGATTACTAGCACTGTACGTGATCATTATCATTGCAAATTATCAACTGTTTTACATATTACATTACCAATTAAAGACAATACCCTACAATAATTGAATTACATACTAGGACGAGAAATTGTAATGGAAAATGTTTAGCTATATTATTTTATCTGACTATGTTAACTTCACATTGGAATTGTGTAAATGACAGATAAAGGTTAAAAATGTTTACATTATTAATTTTCCGTTAGAAAGGACTATACTTTTATGAATACACGGGTACACAACAGTATACAATTGAACATATAATTTCATATATGATCTCTTAGAGAAATAATTGATCTTTAATTGAAATTATAAAAATTCGAACAAAAATTACTGTTACTAATCAATTCATTTTAAAAATGAGTGGCAAGTTAAAAAAATTTTTTGAACTTTTATGGTGTTGCAATCGAAAGTTCTTTTGTGTAATATGAAAAAATATTTATAAAAATCATTATTAATAACGATAAAAAATAATGTTTTCATACAAATGTAGTGTTCTATAATCTCTATATTTTTTATATTACACCAAGAGTATTACGTACAATTCAATTGGATCATTTTGTTATCTCAGTCTGTACAAATATGGGATATTATTTACAACGAATTTCTTCAATTGCAATATTAATACAATTAGATTAACATAAATATGCTTTACCAAAGTGAATTTGTTGAAGTTTGACACTTTACAGAATTCAACTAATTAAAATTAAAAATTTGTATATATCTTAAATGAAAACGTATTCATTTTTTTCAAGTTTTATAAATAATGCTTTTCTTTTTGTCATATAAATAAATAATAATATAATATAATAGGTTGATAATGATAACTACAAGAAATTACTTTAAATCATTTAAATAAATATAAATACTATAATAATTTTTAAGTTTTATGCAACTATTTATATTAAATAAAAAATTTAGTTTTAAAGAAAAAATATTTTTATGCACTCATATGCTTATAAATTGATACTATAATTTATATGCTTTAACTTAACTGGACTAACTGAATTATCTAATTTGTAAGATAGTACAACCATTTACCTTGTTATAAATATGAAGTAGAGATTATTGAAATTTTCTTGGTTTGATCGTCCGGTATTTTGAATTGATTTGTTTTTGTGATTATAAATTTGTCATGAGCTCATCACCGTTAACAAAGATGTTAAAATATTAGCAGATTGCAGCAGCGTTAGTCGACAGGCGGACATATACTGAGCCGTGGCATCCGCGCATTAGAGCTACAAGGGGCTACCGCCGCCTCTCGCACAGGCTCCATATTGATTTAATGCGCTCCAGGCGCACCAGTCCCACCTAATCCCGTGTAGAAACACTGCGTTGGATAGCTTATTATTATTATTTTTTGTTTGTTCATCTTTACTTTATCCTTTTCTCTTGTTTCTTTCACCGTGTTTTTGCTCTATCACCACTTTCTACACCCGATAAGTTGTCACTATCAACTTACCCCATCTTTTTTTTTTTTTAAAGGGGGAATGAACTTATATATTTTGACTCGCATTAATTCCATGACGAGTGTACAGGTTCATTCCCTATAAATAAACTGAAAATTGATTAGTTACCTAAAACGCGAAGAAGTAAGATAATATTTTCCCCCAATTGTCTACTCTCAAATAACATGAAAATATAACTTTTACGAAATCCTCTAAAAACTTCATTTTTATCTTAATTTAATTTTACAAAAATTATTCCATTAACGAAGTATAATAGTTATTGTTTGACGTTTTATAAAAGTGGAACAAACCGTAAACCTATTTATAATTTTTCAAACCATTAGCATAAAAAAATGAAATATTAATGTTATAGTTTGCAATACTGAATAGGAAGTTCTACTATCTTATAAACATTTTATACCTATTTGATCAAAATTAATAATTATTTATTATAATGTTATGATAAATAATTATTAATTTTGCATAGCAATAATTGTTGTATTAATAATATGAATTCCAACAAATATTTAATTATTAATATTAATAATTAGTAACTGTACTAAATATTATTATTAATAGTGAATTTTTATAACTTAAAGATAGTTTTAGAGTGTATACGAAGGAATATTTAACGAAGATGAAGCTTCTACACTTATATATTTTAGTTTATATAACAAATAATTAAAAAAAGGATATTAGTTTTAATTTAAAGTTTGAGGATGTTTTATTATTACTTTTATGCATTCTTAATTTTTCCAATGTATAGTTTAATTAAAATAGTAGCTACGTGTGTTTAAAACTACCAAAATTTTATTATTTATAATGAGTACAACTTAATTTAAGTCAATATTTTAATTTTTAAAAATAAAATAAAAAGTAATTGATTTGTTTTGCTCAGATAAATTGCATGATTTTAGTGTAAGCTTATGTTCTTTTTGTTAGGTCACAAAAAGAAAATCATTTATATAATATTTCTTAACAGTTTAATTTTGTACAAGGACTTACGCAGAAATTCATCAAGGTATACATTTTTTTCTTCGATATAATAATTACATAATTCAAGTTTTAAAATTTTTGTTTAAAAAATATAATTTAATAAATACTATTTACAGTACATAAAATTAAACTGTTTAGGAGACACTATTGCACTTATATGACCGTTTTATAGTTAGAAAAGTATTTACGGAAAATAGTACAAAAAAAATTTAATATAAGTTTAAATTTAACTTAAACCCACTTATTTTATAAAATGTTTTTTATAAAGTAAAAATCTATCAAAGTATACTTTTATATGTTAAAATATTATCTCTTAATGAGATATGCCGAATTAATACAAAAAAGTAAAATAAAGTTTTAGTTAAGGGAACGCGTTTGAAAGCTTTAAGCTTGTATTATTTCCATAATAAATGATACCTCGAGATATATAAATGCACGACTACATATTATAATGTTTATGCATCCAGAACTTAATTACAAAGCTTTAAAACTCATTAGGCTTTTAAAATATATTCATAAATGATGCAACTGATTATAAAAACATAATCACTTGAAACTACGTGACTTCTTAAATATGGTTTGATTGTATGCTATTTTTATAGAATTTTTATAACTTTTTTTTTTTCGTTTTTTCCTTAATGAAATGTTTTTTTGTGAATTTTTAAAACCCCTACGTCATAATTAAAAATGTTTGTACATGAAAAACATTATACAAGGTATTCAGTAAGTAAGGAAACAAGTGAATTGTTACAAACAATTAGAACAATAGAAACCCATACTTACTGAACATCTCATTTAATATTACATTTGTAGCTATGTACATTTTTGATTTACTAGTTATAAGTATTATATGTTTCAATAAAAATTACAAAATTAATAATTAACATAAACATAACTATTATTATTTTAATAAAAGTGTCTTAAATTTTATAAACCCAATTTTTATTTTATTTCAGCTACAATGCGAAGCTGAGAAGGTATTAATTTTACTATGATTTTAATTATGATGGTATTGGTTTTACTATAATGTGTTTTTTTTTTTTTTGTGTCTGTTACCACTTATTCTCAGCTCTCAACGAACGGATTTCTTTCAACGATACGTCAAAAGATCACAAATCGTATCTAGTCGAAGACATTACCCTCAAAAATTGAAAAAATTTTCCTCGTTCCCCGTAAATGGGGGAAATCTCCAAAAAAATTACAAATTTAAAAATCGCTAATTTTCGAAATTTTTTCAATTTTTTTTACTAAAAACTGCCATAACTTTTTCAAAATTGAACAAATCAATATAATTTTTTTTTATAGATGCATGATATCATTACATTTCATTTGGTATATTTTTTTTATAAATCTGATCCTTTACCTGTCCATAAGGTGGGATTTAAAATGACAACTTTTTCACAAAAAATTTACTTTTACACAAATTTTTTTTTTTCAAATTAAAGTATATTACATTAGCTTTAATTTAAGATATATATAAAAGTGTCAGACCTTCCGGAACACTTTCAAAAGTTAAGTTGAAAAAGTTGTCATTTTAAATCTGCCCCCGTGGGCAGGTAAAGGGTTAAATTTATGAAAAAAAATATACCAAATGATAGGTAAAAACATCAAGCATTTATACAAAAAAAATTATATTGATTTGTTCATTTTTAAAAAAGTTATGGCAGTTTTTAGTAAAAAAAATTGAAAAAATTTCGAAAATTAGTGATTTTTAAATTTGTAATTTTTTTGGAGATTTCCCCCATTTACGGGGAACGAGGAAAATTTTTTCAATTTTTGAGGATAATGTCTTCGACTAGATACGATTTGTGATCTTTTGACGTATCGTTGAAAGAAATCCGTTCGGTGAGAGCTGAGAATAAGTGGTAACAGACACAAAAAAAAAAAAAAAAACACATCATAGTAAAATTAATACCTTCTCAGCTTCGCATCGAAGCTAATTAATAAAAAAAAATACGATTTTTGTAAAAAAATTTCTTTTTATATTTTTAACTTTATAACGCTATAATTTTATGAAAAATATATGGATCATTATAATTTTTTTAAGAGAAATAATATTTATATATTTTTTTCATTCGACATACTTTATCTTAATCAGGATATTAATAAGGAAATAGCAGATCATGTAGCTTCTGGAATAATCCATCAATTTTTTAAAATTAAACACTATCTAAAGATTTGCATTGAAGCGTTTTTTATGATAGTGATTTTAATCACTGTCAGATATCATCTTTGTTGGACCCAACTATACCATGACCCCACTGTGCCGCCACCCAACTGTGTGGGGTTTTTAATATAGTGAGTGTTTGATGTTTATGATTTGTGTCAATATAATGATATTTAGATTTGATAGTTTATAAACAAGACACTTATTAATGCCAGGATTGGATTAAGATATATTAAATCATTAAAGTTCCAGAAGGTTTTTTCAATAAACATTTATATCCAAAAAATAAAATTATTAAAAATAATTCTGTTATTTCATAATGTAACATTTAAAAAAAGTCATTAAAGCCTTAAAATTTCTTTCTCTACAGAACTCTTGGGCACATAATTCTTGCCCGTCCGTCTTTTTATTTCCAGTTCAAATTTATCTAAGTTCTAGATTTTGATAGAAGTTTGTACAAAATATACTTTTACGATAGTATATTATTTTACTCAATGGTAGTATATAACTTATAGCGTCATCTATGTGATAATATTTAAAATAGCAAAATTTATAAGATAATTGTAACTTATTCATCCATGTCATCAACAAAAGTTTGTTTTATAAGTGATAATAAATGTTGATAATAATATCATGTGAGAAGTCACTTTCTTGGAGTAGATAACTACCATGAAATAAAAATGAATATTTAAAACGCCTTAAATTTAATTTTTATTGTAGTTATACTCTCTTAGTTCTTTTTAACAGATTAAATTTTTAGTTGTTATTTTTCAATACTATTAAATTTTTATTATAATTTCTAAAAATAATGTTAGGGGAATCTAATGAGTTTACAGAAATTCTAAAAACCGGGTTTCCTATGTACTTGTTAATTACCATACCCCTATTATTAATTTTGAGCCCTGTTTGCCCTGCAAATGCTGCTCATGAGTTTACCGTTTATCGTGCTCAACAGTATAGTTTGCAGAGTGCCTCTTTTGGTAAGGCTTTACTTATTTAAATTAAATGATGTTCATATTTTATATACTTTTATTTTTGCTATTTATTGTTTTTTTAGGGTCAAAAAACAGTATTATTAATTTAGAAGCTAGGTCTTTAAAAACATGGAGCAACCGTTCCAGACATTGTGTGTTTGTTTTAATGGACAATTTTACATCTGAAGATTATGAACAAATAGCTGCTGGTACTGGTGCTCTAGTTTTAATTGTTCCCTCAAGACCGTATACTACAGAGCAGCAACAAGTATATTAATTTATTCATAAGTGAAAGTTTATAGTCATTTATTTTCATGGTTTTATTTATATTGTTTTCTATAACAAGTTAATTTATAAAAATGGAATATATCTGACTTACAATTCTTATAACTTTTGTTTTATTGACATTAATTTGAAATTTTTCTAACATAATTGAGTTTTTTATTGTTAGACTATGTTAAAATCATATTTTTTGTTTTAAATAATTTGAATAATAAAATTTTTTTAGAAATTTCAAAATAAACAGTTTTAAGAACTTTTCTTACAAAAATGATTAATGTTTAGATAATAATTTTAGGATGAGTAATTATGAATTACAAGTATTTTATTAAATAGAGTGGGTATGTAAGGATGTTGGAGTATGTGTTATAAATATATACCAGTATGAACTATAATCCACTTTATGTATTAAAATGATTGTAATTAAATAACTACTCGTACTAAAACTATTATCAATGCATTAATTATTTTTATAAAAAAGTAGTAAAAATGACTTTTTAAATCTAAAAGAACCTTAAATCAAAAGAAAATTAATGTTTTTTTATTATTAACAATAAAAAATGTAAACATAGTCAAATGTGCATAAATTATTAAAAAAAAAAATTACATCAAAATGTTAATTGTATTAAAAGTTATAGGAGTTGTCAGTTGGATCTGTTCCACCGTATATAGTAAACATTTTTTTCATTTTTTATTATAGAAAATATTGGAAATAGAACAAAAAGTTCTTTCATCAGATACTTCAATTCCTGTATATGTAATGAGCTGGTCTGTTGACGTTGAAAAATTTATGAATGATCTAGCTGATAGTAAATTGATTGATGAAAATGCTAGTTCAGCTACCAAAGGTATTATTTACTGAATATATTTTAATAATTATTTTTAGTGCAGTCTTGAACTTATTTATTTAAAAATATGAAATCAATTATATGTCAAGTGCCAACAAATTAAAATTGAGCTATTTTGAAAAATTTTCTATATACTAAGTGTAATAAAATATAAAACATCTATGTCCCTTGAAAAAGGTAAATATCAATTATATAATGTGTTAGGTATGTTTGTATATTTTAGAAAATTGCTAATAACTTAATATTAACTTTTTGGCCTTTAATATATTATTGATTTCAATTAAATTTTCTTTGTCAATTTTTTAATAGTTATTTGTATTATTCAAATTGATTTAGCCTTCATTAATTCTGTGTCTGCAAATGGATATCAAATAGTAGTATCATCTAGTAAGCCAGTTTTACAACAGGATATTTCAGTATCTACGATTCAGGTGATTAATTTTGTAGACACACATAATATATCTTTAAAATTAAAATGGTTAAAATTTAATATTAAATTATATGTTTTTAGGGTCAATTGATAGGATATGGTTTCCAAGATAAATTACCTAGTATTTTAATCGTTGCTCATTATGACAGCTTTGGATTGGCACCAGTAAGTTGTTTTTACTGATTAATGATTGGGATAAAAATAAAAATTTAATTATGTTGTAATTATTTAGGAGTTGTCTTTTGGTGCTGATAGTAATGGCTCTGGAGCTGCCATTCTTTTAATTTTAACAAAAGTATTAAGCAGGGTTTATTCTGAAAAGAATAGACCCAAGTACAATGTGATGTTTGTATTAAGCGGTGGTGGCAAACTCAATTACTTAGGATCTAAATATTGGATAGAACAACAAATGGAAAAATCAAATACACTACAAGTGAATATCGAAAATGGAAATGTGTACACTTTAAGTGAAATATTATTATTTATTAACTTTTTTAGGATATATCATTTGCTTTGTGCCTTGACTCATTAGGTAGTGATAAGGCTTTTTTCGCACATGTGTCTAAACCACCAAAAGATGATAGTAAAATGGGAACTTTTATTAATGTAAACATTGAGTATTTTTGTTTGAATTTATGTTAAGAATTTTATATTTTGTTATTTATATTTAATTAGGAACTCAATAATAATTTAAGAGAAAACGGACTGAAAATTATTCATAAAAAAATTAATTTAGGTAGTGATATTTTGGCTTGGGAACATGAAAGATATAGTATACGAAGATTACCAGCATTTACTCTATCCAGTTTAAAAGTATAGCTTTATTTAAAATTTAAAATAATATTATTCTATATAGAGAAATAATTATTATGAATTAAAATTTATTTTTAGAGCCATAAAAACAATTTAAGATGTTCCATTTTAGATACTAGTGATATATTAGATCCAAAAATTGTTTACCACAATGCTCAAATTATAGCTAAATCTTTGGTTTCATTTTTGTATGATTTTAACACATCTGAAATTCCAAAAATTGTAAGTTTAGTGTAATTAGGATAACATTTTTTATGTATATAAAAAAAACTTAAAACAATAAAGGTGATAACATTTTTTTTTTTTTTGTAAAGAATATAGATTTTGAAACTGTAAAATCAGCTCTAGATATGTTAGTATTACAGCCAAGATCTACTCAAATTATAGGGCAGAAATCAAGTTCTCTAGTTGATAGTTTGTTTAAAATGATGAGTAAATATTTAAAAGATGTTAAAATATCTCATGTGACTGCTGATAAAGTTGATCCACAGTTTTCATTCTATACAGTTACCAAAGCTACTTTACAAGTTTATAGGTAGGTTATTTTATTTTCAACTTTTATAATTTCTTACAGAGGAATATTTTTTTTTTGTATAAATTAAGAATTATTTACCCGTAAATTATATAATTATTGAATAACACGTATTCTGTAGGATAATTATTGTTACAAAATTTATTATTTATTGTATAGTAAGGAAACCCAATTTATCAATATTTTTTGTTTATTAAAATTTTGTAGTAAGATATAATAATTTATAATTGTTTATAATTTTGAAACATTGTTAATAATAATTTTATCAAGAACACAAATTATTAAAAAGATTTTATCATAGATTGAATATTTTATATTAGTTAATTTAAAACAATTGATTACAGTGTGAAACCGGCTGTGTTTGATCTCATACTCACTTTAGCAATTGTAGTGTACTTGACTTTAGTCTACTTCTTCATTCAAGTAAATAAATAAATAAATATATATATATATATATATACAGGGTGTTCAGTAAGTCAGGAAACGGGTTTCATTGTTACATATGATTACATTGTTCTCATTGTTACAAACAATGAGAACAATAGAAACCCGTTTCCTGACTTACTGAACACTCTGTATAATTGTTACATATGATGTATAGGTAGTTATAAATTCTTGATTAATGGTATTTAATATATTTTTTAGTTGATGCCTACAATTTATGAGTTATATGCTAGTACTGTAAAAATCGAATCTGCTGTTGTTGTCTCAAAGAAATCGGGAAGGAAAGAAAAAAATAAATAGTTTCAGAACAATGTTTTGAGAAAAACAATTCTATTATTTATTATTATTGTTTGATGTTGCTCAAAAACATAAGCATTTAGTTATTATCAAATTTAGAGTGTTATAATTATTTATATGGTTTTCATACAAAATTCATCTTTACAATGATTTTGATTTGTAAATTAAGAACAATGTAGTATTCAATATATAAAGATATTTTTACATGTAGTTTTAGTTAAATTTGTGTTCAATGCTTTAAAAATAAACAATTTATGTACATTTCTACTTTGGTTAAGCTAAAAATAAAGCTGACTTGTTTGTTTTAATGACATATTGTCATATTATTAAATAGGAAACTTCAAAATTTTGTGATGTTAAATTTAAACTTTATATATTTCTTTGTTATACATTACAACCGAAGTAATTCCAAAAACCGAAGTGAATAATTTCGGTATCCAAATTATCTTTTCAAGATATTTTGGGTTATGGTAGATTTTCGTTTTTTATTTTTTAATTATTATTAATTGATATTTTGGTTTCAGTTGATAACGAGTTATATATTAATTTTATAGTAATAGAATTTTTTTTGAGTAAAATAGCATTTCTTAGCAAATTATGTAATAAAACGCTTTTTTGTTATAAAAATATTTATTGACGTTTTTAGTTACCATGTGAAGCTGTAAAGTAGTTTGTATATACCTTGATGTGTGTTTTTTTGTGTCTGTTCATAAAAATCATAGCTATCACTTGTCCAGTCTTGCTAATCAATACGTTTAAAAAATTTAAAAACCCCTTAATTATAGTTATGTGAAAAAATATCTAAAATATTAACAGCCTTTCTAGTTAATTCGAATATATATCTGACTTAAATGATTTGAATACTCTAGTTACAAATTAATGTACGATTAACACATTTTTTTTCTAACTTCAATCTAAGCTAATATTTTTTAACAAGAAAGAATAAAATTATATAAACATCTTTTTGCAACTAGACAACTAATTTTATAACTGGCCGCTGACTACGATTAAATTTTAGCTTTGATTTGAAGTTACAACCATATTAATTTTATAAAATGTTTTAGCTGAGATGGTATTGGTTTTACTATGATGTGTACTACAATAAATTTTCTTTGATTTGTAAACATTGAACATCAGTCAAAATTGATTGTTGATATAGAAATAAATGTTGAAATTTTAGTGTCTCAAGTCCAAAACTAGTCCAGTTGGGTAATAAGTATCTGGCAAATAGTTCTAAACAATTTGGTGTTTCGGGTAGAAAAGATGATAATACATCTGAAAAATATATTTGTATGATTAAAACGAAAAATAACTAAAGATTTTGCAAAAAAGATTATTGACCAGTCATTTAATCATTTTTTTAGCTTCGATGCGAAGCTGAGAAGGTATTGGTTTTACTATGATTTTATTTATTTATTTTTTTGTGTCTGTTACCACTTATTCTCAGCTCTCACCGAACGGATTTCTTTCAACGATACGTCAAAAGATCACAAATCGTATCTAGTTGAAGACATTACCCTCAAAAATTGAAAAAATTTTCCTCGTTCCCCGTAAATGGGGGAAATCTCCAAAAAAATTACAAATTTAAAAATCACTAATTTTCGAAATTTTTTCAATTTTTTTTACTAAAAACTGCCATAACTTTTTTAAAAATGAACAAATCAATATAATTTTTTTTGTATAAATGCTTGATGTTTTTACCTATCATTTGGTATATATTTTTTCATAAATTTAACCCTTTACGAGCCTACAGGGGGGGATTCAAAATGTCAACTTTTTTACAAAAAATAAATTTTTCAGCCTAACTTTTGAAAGTGTTTGGGAAATACTGACACTTTTATATATACTTTAAATTGAAGCGATTTTATTTTTTACATTTTTAACTTTATAATGCTATAACTTATTGAAAAGTGTATGAATCAACGCAATTTTTTATGAGAAATAATATTTTTTAATAATCCTTTTTTCATTCGACATACTTTACCTTAATCAAGATATTAATAAGGAACTAGCAGATCATATAGCTTTTGGAATAATCCACCAACTTTTTAAAATTAAACACTATCTAAAGATTTGCATTGAAGCGTTTTTTATGATAGTGATTTTAATCACTGTCAGATATCATTATACTTGATCCATCTATTCCACGTCACCACTGTGCCGCGACCCCACTTTGCTGGGTTCTTTTTTTTTATTGTGTCTGACTTATTAATACTCAATTCTTATTGGGCTAATATAGACAATCAATACATAAATGATCTTGAATCATTATACCTATTGAATTTATATTCCTAAAAAATTATAGATAATACATATTATATTAACTTAATATGATTTAATATCAATACGTAAAAGTATGTATTTCAATAAAAAAAGAAGGAACTGTTTGTCCTTTGTTTTAGTACTTTTCAATATCTCATAAGTAAATCAAACATCCTTTACTTGAAGGCAATCAAGCAAGTTTCTCTGGATATACAAACAATAATGGAGATAATAAAATAAAAACAACTTTGGTGTTTAATATTTTTAGTAGCCTAATTTTTACCCCTGGGAGATTAGATATTTTTTTAAAAATCTTGTTCTGTAATATTAGGTATTGAACAAAAGTGTATGCAATGTGATTTCAATTTAAATGACGATAGCACAGTAGGGTCGTGGCATACTTGAGACAAGTACACCCAAAGAAAAACCTCAATCAATTTTGATAGAGAAATTTTATCAAGGGTTTATGATAATGTTTTATTAATACGAACAAAATAATTATTCTTATAAATAATTATTGTTCAAGACAAGAAAAAAAATTATCATATTGATAAATATATCATAGATTCAATAGTAATGATATATTTATCAAATTGAACAATGAATTTATTTTATAGATCGAGGTTTTTCTCTGGGTGTATAGATAAAATCTGTCAGTGATTATTATCACTATTATAAGAAACGCTTTGATGCAAATACCAAAAGCAAAAAGATTTTATATTTCCTTCATTATTCCTGATTAGTAGTTCTTTGATTTATAAGAATAAAATATGAATAAATATTTATTATAGTAATTAAGTATAGCATGAAACTGATGTTTAATAATTTAGTTTTGTAATTTTTTAGAAGAAATTATAAAATACTATAAATTAGTTATGACTTCTATGTGCAAACGTGTAAAAAATTGAAGGGCTTGCTACAAAACTTTTTAGAAAATAATTTGTTGTTAATTATGAATTAAAAGATTTACAAGGAATTTTGATCAGATTTAAAAATATACTTTTGTTATTTAATCTTTCGTACTAATTTCAAATTTACAAAAAAAATTTTTTTATCACTACTAACTTTTGATATTATTACTAATTAGTTAAAAATTATAGTTTATAACTATTAGTTTATAATTGGATATAATTTTGAATATTTCAATTACAATATTTATTTAAACACTAAGAGTTGAATAAAAATGATTTATTACAATATAAATACAAAAAATATAATAAGTGATTTTAACGAAATTTTGGACTTTTCTTATAATTTTACAGTTAATAGTAATTATATAAGTTCCTGACCATATATCAATCTAAACAAAATAATTTTTAAATCTTTCTTAAAATTTTCTATTTAATGTTATCAATTTCAAAGTTGCAAGGTAAACTAATAAAAAGGGTAAAATTTTTAAATTATTAACTTTCATAATAACCAACTTTAAAGTATCAAAAATTAACCAATTATTCCTACGAAACTTGGAGCTTAGTTGTTCGATTCTCGTATAGGATCCCTTAACTCAGTTAAAAATATCATTGCAATCATATTTATACATTTAATGTATACTGAAATAATAATTTAGTGAATGTTTTATTCACCTATAGTTTCGACAGTATATTTGGATACGTTCATGTACCTAATTTGCATATACCAAATGCCGTACCAATAATATCCTAAGTAAATTTTTTAAATTAATTACAAAATTAATAAATTAGACAATAAACTGGATTTTAAATTAATTTCTATTATAAAAACTAAAAAAAAGTGTGGAAATATTTGTAAATAAAAATATCTTAAAATATGGAAATAATATTTGAATTAAGTTTTATTATCTAGAGCCACTTGAAAAATATATTTCTTATTATAATTTTATCTCTAAGAGAGTTTTTCTAGATTTGGATATTTCGGTAAAATATTCAAATTACTGGATAACCAGTAAACATGTTAACAAAAAATTTATTTCAGTAAAAATTATTCAAAATCAAAGGGGTCTACAAGAAAAAATTGTATATTTCATATATAACTGAGTCTATGTAAATTGTTTACATTCAAGATGCTACTAAAAAAATTCTAATTTTAGTGACTAATTATAATTTAAATAAAGTGAAAAAGAAAATTGTTAATATAAAATAAGCCGAGAAATGATTTTTAATTAATTTCATATACTTTATAAAAATGTGTATGAAAAAAAAATAGTTACAATGTCTTTATATTTTATTAATATTGGGAGTGCATAGGTTATGCTTTACTTTTTTTTTTTTTTTAAATATTATAAAATTATAACCCATTTAATAAATATAATATTATACATATATTTTTTCTGTATTCAATATAGTCGAAATAGTATTATGTTTTTATAATATTTTTGTATAAATAATACTTAAAAAAATATGAAATGTTAAATATTGATTTAAAATTTTAATTTATAGTTCAACCTAGTCATATTTGGCGGCAGACTAATCAATCGTCATAGAAGATATAGATTAAGTACTTCTTCTATATAAGAGACCACAATGTTCTTTAATAGACCGCGAAACCGTATAAATATAAATAATCCTAGTTTTAAATAAATACAAACCTATAAGATAAAAAATATTAATGTAAGCATTATAAAATGAACAATTATCTGAACAACACTAACCTGGTGAGTTTATATTATAAATTATACTAAAGTCTATTACTTTGAATATTTCACAATGTATTTTAAATGAGTAATAAAATGATAACAATTCAATAGCAAAGTCATATTAATGTGTCTAAAAATTATGTAATTAAAATAATGAACTCTATACATAACAACTATAGATGAAATGATAACGAAATGTGAAGAGAAATTAAACTACTTTCTCTTCAAGTTATTAATGTAAGACTCAGGAAAGAAACAGATTCAATAGGTACGGGAAGTTATCTTGTAATATTGGTCGCTTAAATATTAAGTTCCAAAGCATTATTCAGTTTATTATCTAGTTTATAACAAGAATCATGAAGAGCGTTACAAAGTTTGTAAGTTTTATAAGAAATTAATTTTTTTTTTAGTTAGTATAATATCGAAATTTAATTTAAATTCTGTGATAATTATAATTTTCTTTTCACAATAAATTTGTATATAAAAGTAATTTATTTATTTTATTATAGGGGAAGTTATAAAAATTTTTAAAAGAAAAATACTTATTTATTTGTTATACTTTTAATTCATGAAAAATTCAATATAATTTATCAGTTAAAACGCAACAACAAAAATAATTTCCGTAATATTTTACATTTAAAATATTTCAGTAATGACAAATGCTCGGGATTTATAGCATTTAAAATCGTTATAAGAATCATTTAGAGCAAAACTTTAAGCACTTAATTATATATTTATGGCTTAATTATGAAAATCAACAAAAAAAACATTAACAGTTATAAAAACTAATAATTGTTATAAGAATATTGTTATTAAAACATTTTTTTATCTCATGATGATGCAGATTATCAAGGCAATAATTAGATAAGATAATAAGATTTGTGTTTAATATAAACAAGGTACATTTTTTAATTTAATTCTATCTTACACAAATTTTATAAAAATTGTAAAATTTAATTAATACCGTTATTTTAAGAAGCAAAACGAGACGTAGAATTAAAATTTTTTAATAAAATCATAAAAAAAAAAATAATAAAACAGTTTTTTTTTCAAATTTAGTATTTGAAATTATTGTAACATACACTAAACATCTATAGTATTGCGATACATTATTTGTCAAAAAATAAAAATGAGCAAATGCTATAAATCTCGAGCTTTGGTTCGAGCAACTAAAAAAGTGTTACAATGGAGAAAATGATTCTAAATTATAATTCAAATGTGAATTTCAATTGTATAATGTTTATGAAAATTTTGGCTCAATAATCTATTTTATTTTTATTCAAATAATACAAGTTTGATAAAAAAAAAAAAACACTCATATAGAAGTTAAATTAATAATTTTTTATAATATGTCGATTGCCATTTATAAATAGCTATTTTTAGCACTATAATCATCATTGGGCTTAACTAGGGAGGTTTGTGGGGTCTTAGGCCCCCTAAATGTCATACCTCTAGTTCTTAGTAAATTTTATAAATGGTTTCTTCATATTTCATTATACTAATTTTATATTGCGCTTAGACTATATTTGAAATACCTTTAGTTATTTAAAATAAAAAATAAAGAAATATAAGAAGAAAATTAAAAATTAACCAGTATAAATAGGTTACCATTTTTTAAAAATATTATTTTGTGATATCCTTATTGAAAAAAATCCTATATACACTGTTGGTTTATACTTTACTTACACCAAATTAGATAAAAAAATTTTCTTATCGAAACTTATAGTTATAGGCTTGCATGGACTCACATTTACAGTTTAACTTGGAAAAATTAATGTCCTTAATACATAAGCACAATTCATGGGGTACATTTATTCACATCAATGGTCAGAAAATAAAATACATTGGTAAAATTCTGGTTAAATTATATATTTTTGACGTTGAGGTAAATAGAAAAATTTACATAGTAAATAGTACAATGTGTTATGTAGTGTAAAAAGAAAGTAGTGTACCAGTAAATTTTTAAAAATTGATACGAAAAAATGTGTATACTGCTTTATTCAAACCCTCTCCGTACTTACACTGTTTGTAAGGTTTAATTATATATCAAAATATGTATATCGAATGATAGACAATTGTTTTGACTAAAACAAATAAAAATTTAGTATTAATCTACGTTTTTTTAATACAAATTAAAGCAATTTATCTATTTCAACTATTGCTGTGATTGGGATATTTTCTTTGCTTATCAAAATTAAGGGAATTATTTTCAATAATTTAATTCAATTTCTCCAAAAAATATATTTTTGAACTTTGAACGTATGTATATGTCCAGTGAGATATGAAAAATGATATGAACATAAAAGTATACACATCATGGTAAAATTAATATCTACTCAACATAGCATTGAATCTGAAATAATTATAAAAATGAAACATTATATGGAGAAGTAAAAAATTGAAAATAAAAATATCATTCATTAAAATTTTCGGAAAGTTTAATTTTAGCACTAGTATTTAATATTTTATTTAAGTAGTAAAATATTATAAATTATACATAATTAATAAATTAAAAAAAGATAAAAATAATTATTTTGATGTTTTATCAATAATGAATAGATAAATATATTTAGGCACTTTCAACACTGTATTTATTTCCAAAAAAAATGTTTTTAGGTGCGTACATCACTACTGGTATTATTATTGGTGATTTTTGAATGTTGGAATTGTAATGCGACCCCAATGCCCGCTGAAGGTCTAACGCCGTTTAAATTTTTTATGGCAAGGGCAATGGGACAGTCAAATGAGCACTCGATTATGAAAATTATTTCATTTAAACCTGATGATGGGGCTAAATTTAGACAAATATTTGAAAAAAAACATGGACCAAAGGGACGTGATCTAATCGAAAGTTTAGGAAAAGGAATAACCAAAGGAGACACTGAAAAGGTATAATAGAATTTTAAAAACAAAATTTATTTTAAATATTTCAATGTAAAATTTCATTCATATTTATAATCATAAAAAATCACATAAGCACTTTATAAATAATTGAGGATTCATTATGAAATTTAGATTGCATAACCCTTATAAAAAGTATTGTGATATGAATTTCTTTATTTTTCAGGATGACGTGATTTCCAAAAATGTAGAATTTAACGTATAAATAAAAAAATAGTACAACGTAGAATAAGCTAAAAATGTAATTACACAAACCAAATAATTACTTTAAGACTTTTAGAATTTTGATTAAGTTAAATGCTTCAGCATTATTTTTTTTTGCGATGTTAGATAATATGTGAAATAATTTCCGCTCTATTTACTTAACAGTTGATTTTAATTTATTCACGTGAGTACACTGACGACGGAGTTTTGGTATACTGGAAACTATTAATATTGTTACAATACCATAATGGTATACATTACTAAAGTTTTATTGTTGTTATTATTATTTTTTAATAAATATCTTTTACTATTATTTATTCCTAATTTATGTTAATCCCTAATATTTAAAGTGGGGATTAACCATCATAAGATAAAATTATATTCTAAGTAAAATATCGCCTAAAAAAAAGTTAATAAAAATTTTTCCTTACTATTAGAAATTACTAGATATGCCATTGGTTACGAGGTTAAATGTCTCAGACTGGAGTAATAATTTTTAAAAGAAAACGTTAAGCATATACATAACATAAATAATATCTATCAAAATATTATTTCAATTAATGGTGTGATTGGAAAAATTTAGAGCTTTAGAGTGGCTGCAGTACTACCGTTGCAAAGGAGGTGCTGCTATCATACTACGTCATAATAATTCTAAGGTTTTTTTTCCGTAATATAAAGTTCAATTAAATTATTAAAAAATTCAAGAATAAAATTTATTTTTCTTTTTATTTATTGTTATAATTATTATTATACAATAATTATTTTTTTAATTTTTCTTATTTTAGTATTAAAAATTATTTCATATTAAGGTCTCTGAATGAATGAAATATTAACGTGCACGTGTTCGATATATTAAACAATATAATGTAGCCGATAGAATTTTTTGTATTTTTATAGTAAGTCATACAAGTTTACAATCAGTATTTCATTTAAAAATTATTTTATTATGCTACGTAATTGATTTCCGCTGTGTGCCGGTTAACTGATAATGAAAAAGCGGTCATAACAATCGTTTAAGTACCTTTTCTGGACAATGATTATTTTTGTAGCCTTTTTAAACCCAATTGGAAAAATTTCATTATATAAATGCTATTTTATTCATCAACTTATCCTATAGTTTGTAAATAAATGTTTTAAAATTTGCAGTAAAACTAGTTAACTTGAGCATTTCTACTATTCTTATAATTTAGATTATTAAACCAAAATGACTTACTAAAGGCATAGTTAGTAACGTGGCAGTACTTGATGATCACTGTTTTAGTTTCGAGATTCGTTTAAGGGCGAGTTTCATTTGCCTAGCTAGGAATTTATACTACATAATATTTTCAATAGTAGCTTTTTTATTTAATTTAGTTTAATAATTTAAATAATCAAGATTTTTTAAAATTAATATAATTATGGCTATTTTTACTTCAGGTTAACCAAATTTGTATAATTAACCTAAATTAATTTCAATATAAATCTTTTAAAATAAGTTTATTTTATTGAATTTACAATATATTTATAATTATATCTGACAGCCTTTCTTGTAATTCACATACACAATTAATAGAAATGATAAAAATAATTTATATTTTAACAAATAGCGTTTGCAATTTAATTTTATAATCTGATATTAGCAGATTGAAAAAATAAAATTGATCGAAATTATTAAAAAAGTAACATAATATTTAACAATTGAAAATTTCTCCATATATTTAACAAAATATTAACAAAATAATATATAGATATCTTTATACACGTGTAGATAACCGTGAAAGTGAGGTTTTGGCGGAATTTCAGTTTCATAAACCGTTCTTTGAGTACATTACACATTAAATTTTAAGCTTAATACTTGTTTTTATTTAAGCCCCTACACATTACCTATTTAAATATATGGTATTTTATAATTATCATACCAATCTTAAGCTAATAATTATTTATACAGTAAAATTTTTATTAAAAAAAAAATACTGTTTACTAACAATAGATGTATAATTACAATAAAGATATGTAAGTTATAGTTTACTTATTTTGTTTATTATACGCGGATAATAGAAGAAAACAACACATTTATAGTAATAGTAATAATAAAATTAAAAAAAACATAACAAAAATCATTAATTTGTTATTTTTAATAGTTTATCAGTAAGTACATTCTTAAAATTTAAAATATAATATTATACGATTCTACTTAAGATATTAAATAACCAAGAGGCAGACCGTTATTTTTTTCTATTGAGCTATTCGTTTACAAGTTTCTGGTTCACCGCAAATACGTGACTTTGTACAATATTTTAATTAACGTAAAACGGCAAGACTTAAAATTATCGAAACTCGTAAAAAAATGCAAACGTGTCTGCCGCGGGTTTTTGGTAACATTCGAACCACCAACGAGCCTCAGCACCGGAGGATTTTTCTTATTATATATCATATCATTAAACTATAATTATTATTTATAAGCAAATTGTCTTATTATTATTATATTTAAATGATATTTTTGTAAAATAAGATTTTTTTTAACACCTAATTAAAAATAAAATGTGTGCAAAAAAAAAAAAATTTCAAGAACAATAACCAAACGACAGAACGGAATATGAAATTGAAAGACAAGAAAAACCACCTCTGAACGGTATGGAAGGAATTGCGCATACAGCGGGTCAGAATTGTTTTTTTACTGTTGACAGTCATGTGATGTGAAGTGTTCAGTGAATTCCTTCCAGAGGAGTATAGGATTTATATTGATATAATTCCGGTCCTCCATAACCGTATAGAAGACGACCGCGTCCGTTTTCATCGTAGTACGGATATCTATACTTGGGTCTGAAAACATAAAAAAAAATATTATACAAAAATTATCATAAATTACGTAAAAACAGTAACGTTTAAAATATGTTACATATTTAAAAATGTTTTAATTAATTTTAATAAACAAAATTCAAGTACCTTTCGAAGTATTGGAAGTTAGGAGCTCTGGGAGTCAATGTTGCATTGACTACTGCGATGGCAAAAGCCACCGTAGTAAATACTAACAATATCTGTAACAAAAAAAAAAAAAAAAAACATCAATAATGGTCACAAGTTGATTGGTTTTTATGTTGACGTCATACTCATTAACGTATTCCTAAATCAATTGTAGTGTGTCGTCAAGCATACAGTACTTACACGTTGAGTGTTACGAGGAGAAATTTATTCAAAAATTGAGATAATAACGTGGCAGTCAAAAAGACCGAGTATACTAATTTTTGCATAAATTATAAATACTAAAATAAAATTAAGTGGGAAAATTATGTATCGAAATATAGGTAAATATACTTCTCCCTAAATACATTCAACAGATATAACTTATGTTTAGAAAAATATTTTCCTTATGCTTGTACGAAAATAATTTACCAATTTAATGTATTAATTATACACACGTGTGCAATAAATATATCAAATAGGTGGTAAAATAAAACACATGCAATTTAAAAATAAATTATTTCAAAATTGTCCCAGCCGTAAACTTTAGTTTCTTAGAAAATATTTTATTTTATTTTCATGTTTTTATATTTTGGGAAGAAAAATATCCATGACTGTTGTGTTTTTTTTTAACAAAAACTTGTTTTTTATTTTATTCAAGGTGTTTACTTATTGAAAATTGGGTATAATGTAATCACGAAAATATTGAACACATTTGTTTTGCTATTATTATACATTCCAATTAGTTATTTAAGAGTCTCTCGCTTGACAGAGCGTAATCACCACGTGTCATTCAACTTGACCTAATATAGACTAATCATTAACATTAAAGTACAGAAAATATCTGTTGCAAAAATATTTATTTAAAAGTATATGTTAGATTCATTAACACATTGCAGATTTTGGTATCACGCAACTGCCGAATTCGATTCACATTATCATAAGTATTCAAATGTTTTAAAGGGATCGGGTTGTATGAATTCTAAGAATATTTTTGCATTGTCATATTCTGCCTGAAAATGCTGTTATGCTGTCAATTTCGTGGTGTTAGAGCATAAATGGAAAACTTTCGGAAAAATGAAATATCAATTTTGTTTTAAAACATTATTTTGTATATATTTTTACGTGTGAAAAATTGGATTAAATGTAAGTTTCAATTTTATTGTTCCAAAAGTTGTAAATTTACTCTTGTCCCCATTTAAAAAATTAAACAACAGTATTAAACATAGCAAAATCGATTCGTGTCCTTAGCATTTAATGCAAGACGTTGAGAACAATGCCTGATAAGTTAAAAAAAAGTCAATTAAATACAGAAATGGCCAGATTTTCAGGGAAATTTAAATAAGAGCTGTCTGTTTTCATTATCAACACATTCATTGATGGTTAATACGTCCTTCATCACACGTATCTAATATTATGTGAAAGCTATGGGTATACAATGAATAGTACAATTATTTTATTCAGATTCAATTGGTAAATAACGCTGTGTAGTTTTATTTTATCTTTCGTGTATGCGTGTAACATTTGTTACTGATGCAGATTGTTAGTACAAACACAACACAAACTGCTCCCGGCTTATAAAATACCATTTCTTTGTACTGTGTTAATTTGTTTTGTAATATGATAAAATAAATGTTCTAGAAAATAGCATTTTGAATTGTACAGATAATTTTTTTTTTATCGAATTTTAATGCGAGAAGTATAAATATATCTAATTTTTTGTACTTTTTTTTTTTTTATCTTTTACTGTAATATTAAATTATATAAACTTTATTTGATTGATTTAAGTTAAAAACAAATTTTCATGAATTTTGTGTAGTATACAGTTTAATATATTACCATTGGGTAGTAATTTTTTATTACAAAGAGTTTTTAATGATTTTTTCATGGTGACATAACTAAATGTAAATGTGATACTTCATGCGAAAACACGATTCGGACATATAGATAATATAGCAAATCAGTTCAGCACGTCGATATTACACGAATAGTTTTGAAAAGGTTACACGGGTAAAATATTTGAAAAACAAATTTTGTATTACATTATTTGACAAAAGGTCAATGCATATAATTTTTATTGTTCTCATTCGATTTTATCTCTTTCATTAAGCTGCAGCTTTTAACAATGATAATTTCATATATATTATCGGAAGACATTATGATAATCATACGAATGTTGAATTATTTTGACATATTTAAAAAAATCGACCATTTAGATGATAGACACTGAAGTCACAGAAAACCGATTTGTGTGCCTCAAAGCACTAATTTATTCGTGGCGTCCGTATTCAAAATGTTACATTCAAATTATAGAGTTTTTGAAAATTGGAAAGTCATTACTGTTCAACTAATGTGTTGTGTAATTACGTCCGAGATGTAGAAAAACTACAGTAAAAAACCAACGTAATGCACGTCAAACAATAAACATTCTACTTATCAATTACGAATGATCAACGGCAATTACTGAAATACTTTTTACACTAAACAAGAAGAATATAGATGACGTGCCAAAGAAAGATTTTCCCCTGGAAACACGAAAACGGTTCCATACTTTTAATTGGTACACTAAATGTTCGTTGCACACACACTGTGTAAAACGAACGCCTTATTGACACAATTAGTGAACAAGTAAACAGCGATAAAACACTTTAAGTTGACATTCTACAGTTGATCGACGTTCGGCACGAAAAGGCTTAGGCGGCTCGAAGTTTGTACAAGCAAACGTTTCTACAAAGTGTGCGATTAGAACTGTTGAGTATTTTAATACATTTAAATGGATTCGCGTTAAATTAGATCAAGCGCGAGCGAGTTGACACGGTAAGTGCATTAGAAGTAACACTTATTGCGATACGAGTGTGTCGTCATTTTAACTTATATTTTACGCATAGGTTTTTCAGTGAAGATGGCTGTGCAAAAATTATTTGGACAATCACCGTGTCTCTGATTTGAATCCGCAAACCGTTTCCCAGTGCAAGTTTACAAACTTTTCACTTGAAATTCTTTACATCAATGTGAGGTGAACGTTTATCGCGCGATTGACGGCAAAGTTCATTTTACCTACGCGTCTGTGATATGTTTATTGTCATTATAAATAAAGCATATGTCGTGGAAACTTTTAACGAGAACCAAATCGACTTTAAGCTTCGCTTAGTTTTACAAAAAAAAAAAAATGATTTTTAAAAATATATAAAAACGGTAGTTAAATCGAACAACTTTTGGGTATTTATTATATAAAAATGATTTTATTTTAAAAGTTGATCAAAGGTGGTGAACGATTCGGGTAGTGTTCAATTGTGCGGCTCTGACCTAGTTTTTCCGTCCGAAGCAGTCGTCCCATTTTATGGTATGTACGCGCCAAACGATGCGAAGGGACGCCGAGGGGAGACGTAGCGGGCAGTCCGACCTTGACGATCGACCCGCTCCTTTGGAAAATTGACCTACAAAAGTTAACCCAAAAATAATCTACGCGGGAAACGATACAGATCGAATAACTAAACAATACACCTTTTGATAATAACACTACTACGTATATAAAATCAAGTGTAATAATCACAAACTTACCGACGACGAAAGTTTTTAGATGTTTTTGGTCGGGCAAACACGGCTGAAAAACCGAGAACGATATTGTCGCGTAATCCAAACGGCAGCGGGTGGCACAGCCGTGGCGGCACCCGCCGACTCGACGGACCGGCGTCAAGTCGCTTACTCTGTACTCGTGCCGTGCCGCCGTTCGTGGTGGTGGCTGTCCGTGTCCCGAAAGTGGGTCAAATACATACACACAGACACTGCACAACAGGCAGCGCTATGGCGGCGGCGGCGTCCTATCACTTTCACTATGCTGTCGCTATATCTACGGCTATACCGCCACCATAGTATACATGTTGCGCGACGTATGTAGGGGACCGCCCGCACCACTGCTACTTGTTTGTTAATAAACCCTTTATGAACTCTGCATAAAACTCAAAAATATATATGTAAAAAGGATATTGAAAACATAAAAATATAATTTTCCGAGAAATCTTTTTTTAATATAAAAACTATAAAAAAAAAAACTGCATTAATTATTTTATAGATTTTAATTTTTTTTTTTGGAAATTATGAATTTTTACTGATTTGCACGCTATCCTAAAGAGTACGCAAGATGAACATTTGAAATGCTTTAATATTAAAAAGTAACCAAGGTAAAACAATGCGGAAGCTATGTATTTTGAATAGTGAAAGTACTCCGTGTATTACTATATTAAATTATTCATTGAATAATTATACAATCGTAGCTTTTTACGATATTTTATTGGTATGTACACTAATTATAGATATTGGAATTGACACGTCATAACTAATAGCTCCATTTTATCGTGACAGTTTTTTTTCATTATTTTGTACGACAGGTAAAATCACAGTATAAAAGATCTACATTAGTAATAAAGAATTTTTTTTCAGACAGTCTAGTCATAAAACGTATTTGGGATTTCTAATAGTTTAAAAACCTATTAAATTTTACATGTTTGATGAATTATAGTTGATAATGCGATAGTCATTATAAATGATAAAAACAATAATTATTCGATATGTATACCCTACACGATATATCTTATAATGTCATAATAAATGTTGATTCGTTAATGATTACATAAAACAAATCACTGAATTATTTAAGTTCTTTTTTTAATTTACAACCATTAACTACTGCCATAATCAGATGAACTTAATATTTTATTTCACCAGTATTGGCAAAAAAAAAAGAATTTTTGATGTAAAACATTACATTAAAGTGCATTGAGTAAATTCAACAAAGATTGAAGCGCATAGAATATTGATATTTGATTTGTACTTACCAAACGAGTTAAAGATGGCATCGTTGTGGATAGCCACTTGACATGGTCGCTGCCCGATGGCTACTGCAACCCAAGTACAGCGGGGGAATCCAAAGACGTGTGAAAGTGACTTTCACTTGGCGTTTGCTTATCGGACGGGGTCCGGTTCGAGGGCACCTGAATTCGTTGCCATACTACACGTGACTCTCCCCTCCAGACTTGAGTATATAGTTAAATTTCATGAAGTTGGATTTTTATTATTTCAGCAAAATTTTGTATTTTTTTTTTCAGAAATTACCAATTGATCAATTGTTTATAAATCGTCGAAATTTTTTTTTTAAGAACGTCTTAACATTATAAAAACTGTTGAAATTTTATTCAAAACCATGAAAGAGAAAGTGAACAACACATTTATTATACTGATAATGTGATCATCTTGTGACATTGAAAGTAAAAGTGAAGGATAACAGTACCGTTAGTGCGTTCATGGGCCGTCTGATTTGTGTTTTCTTTTCTGACTGGGAGATAACGGTCTTTACATCCCTCCCCGCCTGTCTGTCTATTATTAACAATAAAAAACAACGGTATACTTAAGGGAAATCGTTAACGGTAAAACTGCGAGTGGATACCAAAAAGGGAAACCTTGAAAGTGAACGTCATATTTCAATATTCATACAATAAACGTTATTTATAAATTTTACTTAAAACGTAGTGCTACACATTAATCTCAATTTACGAAAAATCTTGTGGAAATGTTATTTATAAGCTTCTTTATTCACTCTTGTGTGTGGTTAATGAAGTTTTAGATAGTTATTTAAAAATTCGGCAGTATTGCTATAGATCGCAATTACAAATATTCCGACCATTAGATCTCTGGAAAGTAATTAAAGGGTTTGTGGTTATACAAGAGAGTACCTTCATTTTCTCCACATATTTGATTTGTTATGTAACTATTAGTGGTGTTTTCGCAAAAAACCCTTTTTTTACTTTAGGGTTAATACCCTTCAATATAAATAGTACATAAGTATTATTTTTCTAGGTTATACGTTAATTAAAAAAATGCTAGTGGATATACGTCTTATAAAACTGACGATAGACTAGGTGAGGCACCGAGAAAATGTCGGTCATCTTCTATAATTTGGGGCACTTCATAAATATTTGGGGTGTAAAACATCTTTTGATAGATATAGTCACTTCTAGGTAATATTATGATAAAGCAACTAATAATATCAGTCTTATTTTACAACTTCTGTAATTAATAAATGGCTTAACAATTTTTTTAAATTTATTTATAAATTGTCAAAAACCTTTAAGGTTTGACAGGCGTCGAGACGATTATCATGTAAATTTTAACTGGATATAAGCTGATGCAATTTACATTGCCTACATTGCACGTAATGTTATTAATATTGCGGTGTTTGTTTTCTTTGTTGAGTTCTCTTAAATAAATAGTTAAAAAAGAATTCTCGATGCAAAAGTGGCGCTGAAAAAAGACGTTTACAAGAGAAAGCACTTTTTAAAAAACCGATTGAAATCCAAAACATTTAAAATAAAAAAACACATTGATATGTTAATAAATTTGTTTTTATATATTTCTAAAATTTGTTTGTATTTTTTATGTTATTAACAGGACTCGTAAGTTCAAGCAATTAAAATCTAAAAGAGTATGTAAATATGCACTGAAAACGGACGTTATTCTGAAATTTTGGAGGAACTAAGCCTATCCCAATTTGCGCTTAAGGTTTTATTGCTTCTATAGATAACTTGGGATTTGGATACCGTTCGTAAGTATGGTATTGAAGAGTAATTTTTTAATAGAACAAAAAAAAAGGTCATCAAGGACTTCTGGATTAAGGGTGATTGGGAGCTTCTTAGATAAAAATATCGGTTGACCCTTTTTTTCAATCCAGTTCTGGCTCCATACCCACGTATAGCTCTAAAAACACCACCATAAATCGTTAATTTATTAATTATTGACGTTGTTCATTACTAGTAGAATAATAAATGACGCCTTCGTTTAATTTCAATTATAATCAGTGTTGATTGAATTGTATTGGTTGGTATGTCGATGAACTGTCTAGAAGGATTAATATGGTTGAATATAGGTCTATTTTTTCAAATTATAATAAAAAGTTAAAGACTACTATAACACTATTAAAGGTAACCAAACTTAATATAAAGTTATTGATAGTTTTGCTACAAATAGGTATGTTTATGTATTACTACAACAACAAAGGAATATCTTACCTTTAGATAATTAACCCTCAATGTAAACATTGAATGATGCAGGTAAAATTACAATTTAAATGTATGTGTTTTATAAACGACAATTTACAAATGTTTTCGAACGATGTTAGATTTTAATCACACATTGTGTGAAAAAGAACTAGTAATTAGTTTATTATGATTAATGGTATTTTCATGGAAATACATTCATGTGTAATTTCATTTAGTGGTTCTGATATGAATATTTTCGCTGTCGATAACTCCATTTAATGAACTGTATAAATGTAACCATAAATGCGTATTTCCTACGCTTTCTATACAAAATTGTTAATTACTATAATTACCCAATGTGTTAGAGGTATATAAAATGTAACATATAATGGAAAATTATACTATGATATTTATGACTCGTGTAAGTTTTACACGTATTTGAATAAATTCACATTGTCCAATGTTTCTTTATTCTAAGTTAATTAAATTGTATCAACTGTAGATGTATTACACATCGGTAATACTGTAACAGTCGAGATGATTTATCAATCGAAAATATTGAATTTTGTCAGTAGCAAAATTACTGACCAAAATAGCCTGTCAATTAAGAAGAACAAGAACACATAAGTGTTGAAAATCATTTGTATCACGCGACAATTATAAAGTATAAAGAGTAGTTAATTAAAGTAACTATAAAAAATGAAAAATATATTACTTACAATAATGACATTTGCACAATACATTATTACAAAATATTGAGTTAGTTTAAAAGCATGTTTTCGAGTATAATGTTACTTGTTTTAATGTTATGAGATATTGAACACATTTTGCCGCGAAGATGATCGAAGGTTTTAATACTTAAACACAGATTGCACCGTTTAATTTTATTTGATACATTTAAAAATTGGCTTCAGCTAAATGTGGGCACTGGCCAGTAAACAACTACCATTTCGTATATTAGCTCTATATTATGTTTAGAATGGCGAATATAAATTATTTAATGATACAGTGTACACATCCGGACACGACTATACAATTTAGAAAATTCTTTTAGAATTGCTTTTCATGGTCATTTTTGTCAAAGAATTAACCCATTACGTGTTTAAATGCGTAATGGGTTAATTGCATTACACAACTTGAAGTTTTTATGAGAGTCACAATTCAATTACTCCAAATATTTGCCAATACTATTCATTGGTTTTAATTTTTTTACTTTATGAATGACCCTTTAATTTCATTAAACAAGTTCAATAAAACTACTATACACTCGTTTTATAAAATAATGTTCTTCCATCGACAGTAATTATGTTAGAAAATAAAAATATGTATTGTAGATTTACGAGCCCTGATTAAGACATTGAGAAAGTCGCGGTTAAAAATTAAAAGGGACCTTTGCGTCATAGATATTTTGAAGGTTCATACCTAATTCTTTGCTTTAATAAAATATCTGAAGCCAGGGGATGATGACTTCCTTAATCTGGGTTACAATCAATATATAATTAATAATAATCTTTAAAATAACAAAAATTAATTTAAGGCGTAATAAATGCAACAAAAATAGCATAGACTATGATAAATGATATGCACTAAAAAAAATTACTTTTTCTTTTATAAAAGTAATATAAATCAAATCATAATAAAGTGTTTCGTATTATTTATTAGTTAATTGTTAACTTAATGTTAAACAAACTTAACAAATAAATTTAATTTAATAATTATTATCTGTATTAATATATAAAATTCCTCAATTCTAAGTTTTTGTGCATTTATTTCATCTGATTTTAGTAAAATATAATTTATTTATATTAACCACGGTACAAAAATTTGTTAATATTCAATTTAACCGAAACTTTCAATTAATTAAAAATGAAATAATAAATATTTTATTACTAAAATTTTAATTTGTACTTAGTAATAAATTAAAATAATAGAAAACACATAACTTATTTAAAAATATGATTTTAAGCTAATCAAATACATAACCTTTTGTGTCGCCTTTACCATTACTAATTTATTCAAATTTATTTAATATGTGACTATACTTATGCAATAGTTAACACTCAATTTTTCTACTACTTCATAGGCAATAAAAATCGCATTAAAATGATGTAATGAAAATTAATTTTCTTAAACTCTATTTAATTTTAAAAGCAATTAAATAACATTTAAAATATTTTGATTATTCCCGAGAACATAAAATAATAGCTATATCTATAAAATAACACTATTAATTGTTATTAATTTATTGCATAGTATATTTTTTAAAAATTAGCATAGAAGTGTTTATTATTCAAACTTAAAGGACAAGTTTTAATTTCATAAGTATTGAAACTAAAAATAAAAATACAATTGAAAAACTACAACATATTTTGGCTCTATAATATAGAATATATTTTGGTAAGATATTTTAATTTTTATTAGAAATGTTTATTAAAAATTCAAGTTATCTTATGAGTTTTATTTGACATTTATTGCCAAGTAAAAGCAAAAAACAGATTTTAATAGCTAAAAATTATTTATTTAATTTTTTAGTCTCGACTGAATATTACTAATTTAACATAAAAACGAAGAACAAAATAATGGTAATTTATATATACATTTTATTCATTTTGAAATATATTATTATTACTCTGTCTTAATGTTGAAACAATAGTTAAATATAAAACTTATATTAAAAGTTTAAACATAAAATACAATATCTAAAAATGATAATATTACTTTTGATTACACGTTATCACAAAAATGAATAAATTTACATAAGTGGCATTGTAAGTTTTATCTAAAATATTTTTTACATAATTCTTAAATAAAATGTATATGTTATGTATGTAATAATGTATGTACACAATGTTATACTTATAATTTGATAGGATTTTTGATCATAATTGAGTAAAAAGTAAATAAAAATATTTTAGAAGTATCGTAAAATTTAATTTAATATACATGCGATTTCGTGAAGTTTTGTAAGCAGTTTATAAAATAGTTATATACTTGTAATACATTCAAATTCATTAAATACTTCCCAATATAATTCATTTTGATCTCATTCTTAAACGTAATTAGAGCTAAAAATAATAACTATACTATCACAAGTCTTTAATTTTGCCTTTATTTTTTATAAGGAATACAATTATATTTGTCTAGGTGCCGTATATTGGGGTTGATAATAAACTGAATTTAATGGGTACTGCGCTCTTTGTTGATTATACACATAGTCTCTTACGACCTGTTGTTTCCTACGTTCGTCTTGACGTCCATCAATACCTAAGCCAATTCGCTCTATCAGTCTCTCAGATTGGAAGCCATGAAGAGCAATAAACTCTGGTGCGCGACGTTTTGAAACATCGGGATCAAACGACCATGATTGTTTTTTATGAAATTCAGGTGACCCAAGAATATTGTCTTTGAGAACAGTGACTATGCCGCCTCCATAGATTGCTGGAGTATAACCCACTACAACAATCTGTAAGTACAATGTCCATAAATAAAAAAAATCATACAGTGTTTCATAAAACATAATTTAATTAGTTTTTATTAAAAACTGCTATCCATGCTCTTAATTAGATGATCTGAATAAAACATTAAATTTTTTTTTAATCTTGTTTATGAAATCATGTAAATTTTTGTGTTCGTTATAATTACAATTTCTCTAGACATGACAACATAAACAAAATATACATAAAATTGCACTAGTCTTGTAGTGTAGATGTTTTATTGGACCTGTATTGATAAATACCTTGTTTTATGCAATGACAATAAAACTTGATTTTTAATACAATTACAATATTTTTATTGAGTTCAAGGACATTTTTAAAACTTACGATAATTACTTTTATTTTTATTTTGTAGTATACTAAAATCGAATTAATACATTGTATTTAGCAAGAAAAAGTAAAAATAAGTTAAAACTTTAAATACGTCCCTAAAGATTTAAGTGTTAAGCGTAGAATGTATGAATCTTAATGTCTTTAGATTTCTAACAAAAATTGAGTATTACTAAGTCAAATTTAAAGACGAAATACATATGGTTTTACACTTCGACGCTGATCAAAAAATATATAATCATTGTATATATATATATATATATATATACATCCATATTATTTTATTGTTCGTAAATTATGACAAGTTAAAGAGAAGATAAATCATAGTCAACAAGAATAACACTAAAAATGTAATTTTAAAGTATCCAAAAAAAAAGTTTTTTCAAAATTGATTATATTACTATACATTCTTTTTAAAATGTTGTTATAGATAGTTCATTTTGAGCTAATGCAGCAACTAAAAAGGAATATTATAATTTATACACTCTTTATTCTAAAAAATGTTAGTGAAACCTAATTATTATTGAGCTCCTTAAATTATGGTAAGATTGTTTAAAAACGACTTTAACTATTAGTGTATTTAAAAGTAAAAGAGAGTTATGGTTTTACGGAAAATAAAGTATGGATACATTGGAGTCTTCACAGGACATGTAGATTTCCTGATTCAAATATTTGTATTCTACTATTTGTAACATTTTTTTCAAAAAATCATACAACAAAATTGATAGGTATCAATTTTTTTTATAAAATATATATATATATATATATGACTATAACATGAGTTATCTTATAACTGATGTACAACCGATAACTGTTCAAATTTCAAGACGTTTATGGAGGCATAAAATAAATAAAAAAATGAGTAAAATAGTAACTAAGAAAAGTTTATAAAAATCTCATATATCGGCCGGTGTTTACTATTTTTTAATTAAAATGAGGTATTTGTTTCGTTATAAATGAATTGGTTTCTATTAATATTTTAAAGTTAATACAAACGAAATATTAAAATTTATAGTAATCGACTTAACTAATTAAGTTTATTTCAATATATTATTTTATCTCGCCCTACTAAGTGAAAACTTGATTAAATTCATAGATAAATATTTAATACTGTTTGAGTATTATAATTTTGTCGAAGTTCGAGTTGAATTAAAATACTTGTATAGCTTACCAGTATAATTAAACACAGCGATCCTTTTACGAACTGCATGATGATCAGATCGACAAGACGTTAGAAATGATGTGTGGTGAACAAATTGAATCGTAGTAGCACTCGAAGAAAGATAAAAGACCCATAAATTAGAACTAAATACAAGACTCAGAGTAGCATGTGCGATATTATGTTGCTGTTCAACACCTGTTGAACGGCGCACGTTAATTTTACAAATGTGAGCTAGTGGGTCATCATCCGTAGCAGTATCGTACGAGTGCTTTGACCACCGAGCCACAATACCGTCAGCACATGGTTACAACACGTTATCCGATAGTTGCCGTCGTTATTGTGAAATATGACATTAACTCAAGACTTCGAATGGTCACCGTCGTATATGACCGTGTTTACACTTCAAATTATTCTTTGTAAAGTTGTCTACTCTGGTGCTATATGACTAGTAAAAACAAGTTAAACTCTCTCGGCGACAGTAATCTTAAGAGAGCACGTAAAATAGTACAATGTCATTGAGCAAATATTAGTAATATTGTATTATTATTCAAGTAAAGTGTTTATAAAAATCTTCGACCTCCGTGTATGGAAATTCAATAGATAAGATTAGATTTTTTTTAATTTTATTGAAAATGTTTATTCGATTATTTTTCATGAAAACACTGCCATATATACAGGAATTAAAATCTTTGTACAACACTGTTAACTACTATAAAATATTTATAAAGGGATTTTGTTGCTGGAGAATGACTGAACTTCGCATCAATCTGTAATTGATCATTTTGAATATTTTTGAGGTCACCATCATGACACGCCCAGCACTTGAGAAACGAATTTGCTACATTGAACTAGGTAGTATGTGATCAACCACACGTAGCCCTAAGATATTTAACGATCGTGAGTAGGTTACATAAAAATTGTTTTTTAATAATAATAAGAAATTGGTTTCGTTACCACTAAAGTTACTGAGTAAATTATTTTATAATATTAAGCTATTCGTGGTTAAAAAAAATTATTTCAATGTTTATTGAAGACTACTTAATATTTTATAACCATAAATCTTTAAATATTAAAGTATACCTTAGTAATGTTTTTACTACATTTTATTTTATAAATTTTATTTTTCTATAATATTTAATAATAATTCTATCCTATAGATTCGTAGTATTATATTAATGTTATGTAATAAAATATGATATATTCTAATGTAAAAATATATAAAATGTTTTTGGTAAAATCATAGAAAATGCTAAATTTTACAGTATACAGTTTGGTAGTAATTAAGGCGATAATTTTTGTAGTAAAAAATAAGTTTTAATGATAAGATTTTTACACGTAACTAGAACTGAAAGAAATGCGACTAATTATTATAAAATGTTTTTAGACCCTCGATTGGGTTATAATTAAGTTGTTGAGTTATCAACACTGTAATAACTTGGATACCGTTTTCCAAACGTAGATTTTGTTCTATGTATACTTTAATGTATGACAATATCTCACTGTTTACCTAAGATATATTTTTCTACATAATCTAATAAGAAATTATTTGAGAGCAAGTACGGAAGGTGATTAATATAATATTTTGAGTTTATTATTAATTAAAACCAAACTAGTGAATTTCGATGCTATATAATATAATTTTGCGATTCAAAACCAGAGGTTGAAACCATTGAGATGTTTTGGAAACGTTTGACAAGCAGCTAACAATTTTTTATTTTCATCTTTAAGCCGGCATTGCATCCTTTTCGTTTATGATTTAACATTTATTCTTAATTTTTTATTACAATTAAAGTAAATTATTACCATATCACTTTTTATTAACAATTTTTTTATTTCATATCTAAGTTTAATCAAATTCCATTTCAATGATTAAATACTTTGATTTATATAGGAACACATAAGTGATAAAATTATGGAATAATCAACAAAAATTATTAATATAATATTGATAATATGATCACTAAATGACCAGATTTTTTCACAGTTTTAATAATAAATAAAACATATTAATGTATATTATTCTATTAAAAATGTATCTGTTTAGAAACCTATTTTGTGTGTTGTCATTAGTAATACAGAATAAAAAAAAATTGGTAATTTATAAAAGATAAGTATTTTACCAAAAAAATATTAAAATATATTTAAAACGAGACTACCGAGTACAGGCCAAATATTTTTAGTTGTGATATATTCTCGTGGAAAAAGTTGGGGGTGTCGCCTCACACCCTACTACCATTCAAATAAAGTTATTTGAGAAGATATAGAAAAGTAAAAAAAAAATAATGAGAAACCATAGAAATGCAATAAAATTGAGAAGCTATAGAATATAAAATCATTAGGAAGCCATAGAAATGCAATAAAAATATTAAGAAGCCATAGAAATGCAATAAAAAATTGAGAAACCATAGAAATGCAATAAAAAAAATGAGAAACCATATAAATACAATAAAATTAAGAAGCCACAGAAGTGCAATAAAAAAATGAGAAGCCATAGAAGTGCAAAAAAATAAAAAGAGAAACCATAGAAATACAATAAAATTGAGAAGACATAGAAATGTAAAATTATTACAGAAAAATTGTTCTCAAAAATATTCTTTTGGTACATTACTCTTCTAACTACTGAATATGATATTATCATTACATATTATTTTATTACTTATTAGTTTTTCATATTGTCTGTGTTTATATCATAAAATTAATGCTTAACCGTAAGCTATTGTGATTTTTACCCCCAAATACTGTTCATTGCCTATATTTTAATATTATTATTCAAACTCAAACATTTATGTAAAAAGCGACAATTAATCAACGCTTATATAAGAGCACACAGGTTAAATCTATCTTATGATCAGTGTCATAAAACACTTTTCTATGTAGTATCATTATAATAATAATAATAATAACTAAATAATAATGACATGTCAATAATTAATTTACCTTGACCTAGACCAATAATAGTATCAAATTTTTAATTATGACAAAAATAATCTCATTGACTCAACAATATACACTTTTGTGCATTTATTCAGGGACATTAATTGTTTATTTAACATAGTTACTGTTTTAATTATTGCCTGAAAATTAATTGATATTTTTTTTATCTAGCTGTTTTTACTATCGTTATTCTTTCGTAACATTTATATGGCATACTTTTCATTATGTCGTGTATATGAATGAGTATGTCTCATCAATGACTATTAGGAAAATAATTTATTACTAAAACATTCAGATTATTAACGATTATATATGTTTAAAAGATAGTAAGAGTTGATATACTTTTATATTGATAAAAATATAGAGTTTACCGAATTAAAATAAAAACTCAGATAATTTGCAAACACTATTTAAAAAATATTAATTAGATTATAATGAATAGTAGCAATAATAGATTTTTTTTTTCAAAATTTTTTTATTATATTATTGCATTCTGTTCTATACAATTATACATATTTAAAAATACATTTAAAAAGTTAATATTTTTTATAAATAATAAAATATGAATTCTACAGTGTTACATGTTATAAATATATTAATTGAATATATTTGATTGAAAATTAATGATAATCCATATTTACAATTTCATAATACGATTTAAAGCTAAAAATATGATGTCAAACAGTGAAGACTTAATTTTGTTTTTAGGAAAAATGTTTTCTTGTATTGTTAACACAGTAAACTTGTAATTATAGATAATATTAATAAAACTAGGTCACAATTTATCGTAAAAACTATAACATATAAACATGAATCGTAAATATATTACTATTAAGCTTACAAATTTTTACTAGGCCGCTTAATATATCCAGTTTAAATGAAAATTTAAACGCTATTTTACACATAACATTCACTGATTTTGGTATTTAAAACGATATTGAATATAATTTTATAATGAAACAATTTAATTGAATATATAGTCGGGCATTCACTGATTCATGAACACTCTAATGAAGTTTTTGTGCAATTTGGGTATTACGTAAAGGTCTTTGAAGCCACTGGAAAGATGACCTTGGTCATGTACAAAAAATCAACAAGAGTGTAACGTGCATAATTGTTTAAATTACTAAAAAGATTTACAGAGAAACTATGTAAAATTCTTAAAAGACAATGAATTATTTTTTTTTTTATCATTTTTTTAAATAGTTTAAAGCCCAAAAGTTACAATAATAGTACAAACTTTTTTGAAGGTTTACTTTAAGTATTACAACAACAAAATAATAATAATAATAATAATAAATGCAGAATTTTTATAATATACATGTAATTCATATGTCTTAACGTTATCTTCTGGTAAAATATTGTAAGATATTTCTGCATTCGAGTTTTAAGAAATATCTTAACGTTAATCTTGTAATTTCAAAAATTTTCTTTATGTCAAGGTTATTGCGAAATAAAAAAGGTACCACTAGAATTTATTATTCAGCGTTGAGAAAGAATTCTTTCCAAAAATAACGAATTTCTAGAACGATTATTTTTTGTAGGAACGAAGTTAGGATATACTTCTTTTAAGGGGTTAGTAATAGTTGAAAGGATGAAAATATGAGTTTTAAAAATATTATTTTTTTTTGACATATTATATTTTAATATAAGAAACCCAGCACAGGGAGGTCGCGGCACAGTGATGACGTGGCATAGATGGATCAAGTTTAATGATATCTGACAGTGATTAAAATCACTATAAAAGAAAAAACGTTTCGATGTAAATCTTTAGATAGTGTTTAATTTTAAAAAATTGGTGGATTATTCCAAAAACTACATGATCTGCTAGTTCCTTATTAATATCATAATTAAGATAAAGTATGTCGAATGAAAAATGGATTATTAAAAAATATTATTTCTCATAAAAAAATAATGTTGTCCATACACTTTTCAATATGTCATAGCATTATAAAGTTAAAAATGTAAAAATATAAAATCGAGAATTTTCACCAATAATAGCATTCGGTAGCCATTTAACCGTGAAGACAAAATAAAGTCCGAATTTTTTTTTTACCATAATAAAGTATATTACATTAGTTTTAATTTAAGATATATATATATAAGTGTCAAATTTTCCGGAACATTTTCAAAAGTCAAGTTGAAAAAATTAATTTTTTGTGAAAAAGTTGTCATTTTAAATCCCTTCCTGTGGGCAAGTAAAGGGTCACATATAAAAAAAAATATACCAAATGAAAGGTAATGATATCATGCATCTATATAAGAAAAATTTATATTGATTCGGTTATTTTTAAAAAGTTATGGCAATTTTAAGTAAAAAAATTTCGAAAATTAGCGATTTTTTAATTTGTAATTTTTTGGAGGTTTCCCCCATTTACGGGGAACGAGGGAATTTTTTTCAATTTTTGAGGGTAATGTCTTCGACTAGATACGATTTGTGATTTTTTGACGTATCATTGAAAGAAATCGGTTCGGTGAGAGCTGAAAAAAGTGGTAACAGACACACACAAAAAAAAAACACATCTTAGTAAAACCAATACCTTATCAGCTTCGCATCGAAGCTAAAAAAATATTGTGAAACAAAGTCATGGTTATATGGCTGGACCTTGCCTCATTGGTTGGTGACCACTGTAATTCAAAAACTATTTGAAGAATTTGAATGAAATGTATACAGGTTATTGTAAGGATAAAAAACTAGTGCCTGATCAAAAGATATTTTTTTTTTATTAAAAATTATGTTTTATAAACAATAAATTAATGCTATTTTCCTTGATTATTCGCTAATTTATTACCATTTGGTCATTATTAGGCATGCCTTGCGATATTATTCATAAAATTTTACTAATCATATAAAATCAATAAAACAATAAAAAATCATTAGTTTAATAATTTACCTAGAGCCTAATTAAAGATTTTTTTTTTTTAATAAACAAAATAATAGCCTAAAATATAATTTAATAACTTAGTATTATTTATTGCATAAGACAAATTAAGCTATTGTTATAAAGAAAAAACATTTTTTTTTAAATACTCCTTTTTTTATTCCTTTTCTCTAAGGAAGGGGATAAGATTACATACTTTGCCAGGTGTAAGAGACGACCAAGTGAGAGTGTAATTACACAACATATTTGTAATGAAGTTGTGGTATAGTGAGAAAAGAGTATACAAAAACAAAAAAACACAGGATGAGAATCAAAAATCCGATGATGGAAATTGAAAAGGGAAGAAGAAAAAAAATACATAAATGATGTGTGGAATAGATCTATTAGTTTTGTAAAGATTACTGCAAATGAGATTGTTAGTGAAAATAGGAGTAGAATACGAAAAAACAAAGAAACCTTCTGGTGGGAAGAGAAAGTTCAGAAAATCATAGAGAGTAATTATAAGTACGATAGAAAAGTAAAAAAATAGAAGATTTGAGGGAATGTTGTGCAAAACGCTTGTGCAAAGAAGCGAAATGTGCGGTAAGACGAAGTTTAATAGGTATGATGAGTTATATGATAGACTCATAACAAAGTAATGCAAAAAATAAGTTTATAAATTTGTAAAAGTAAGATAAAAACGGTCTAAAGATTATTACAATGTGAGACGTATTAAAAGTGACGATAAAATGCTAACGAACGATTATATTCTCCTTCTTCTTCCTCGCCTTAATCCCAACTACTTGGGGTCGGTCACCCTTATCCTAAACTTCCACTTGACACGATCTCCCACATCATCTACGCTCACATCAGCTGTCCTCAAATCGCATTCAATAGCATCCCTTCATCTCTTTTTCAGTCTTCCTCTACCTCTTCTTCCTTCAACATTCATTTCTATAATTGTTCTTACAGCTTCCGATTATTCTCTCCTCATAACATGACCAAACCATCTAAGTCTACTTTCTCTCATCTTATCCACGATTGACGCTACACCTATACTCCCTCTTATATGCACGTTCCTTATTCTATCTTTTCTAGTTACTCCACTCATCCGTCTAAGTATTCTCATCTCTGCTACATTCGTCCTCTGCTCTACTTTCTTATCAACCGTCCAACACTCTGAACCATACACCATAGCTGACCTTATTACAGTCTTGTAGAATTTACCTTATCGTCGCTAACGAACGATGATGATATGAATAAAGATGCAAAGAGTATTTTTAATAATTACTGAATGAGGAGTATCTAAGAGAGACATCTGAGTATTTCTCGTGGAACGAGTCACTGGTGGATTTAATTAGAAATAAAGAGGTATGGGAAGCTGTGGCATCAATGAAAAATAATAAAGGAGTAGGACCAAATGGTGTGTTAGTTGGTCCTAATTATATATTATATTTTATTTGTTATGTCTCTATTATATTATTAAAAACTTATAATTTAGTTAATTACACATGTATTTCCAATTATGTGTTATAATTTATAACGTGAAAAATACTCAATAAGTAAATAGTATTCTTTAAGTTCATTCTTTATGCTTTATAGGGGCGTCAACTTTTTTCTTAAATAGTAATATACTTAGTTATATTACTTTAACTTAGATTAAAAATAGGACAATGATCTAACTTAAAATATGACAGGTTAATAAAAACTTTTAGATCAGTATTTGGGAAGTTAATACTACGTTCTTTAAAAATATGTTTAATTAAAGCTTATGTTACGTACTATAAAAAAAAATTGTCCCGACGACTTATTTTCTATGTGAAAATTATTGCAACTCAAAATGGTATATATGTATATTGTAGATTATATTTGAGTGAATGGTTGTTTTGTATTAGCATGAGAATGATTGAGTTAAACTGTGCTTCTTGAATAAATAATTTATATATGTTAATATATAGTAATTTATTAGATAGACAGTTAAGTTAATAAAACAAAACTTTTATTTTCCATGTTTTTTTAAAACGTTTTGATCTAACATGCCGTATTTATTTTATTTTTTATACAATGATGTAAATAGAGTTGTATCTTATGAGATATCAAGGAACAAGAGATAAAAAGAAAGTTCTATTTATTTTTAATATCTATTTTAAATACATAATATTTTTTAATATTACAATATAGAAAAATTTTGAAAATGAACCACTAATTATCATAGTATAATACATGTAGTGCTGGGAAAATTCCTGAATTTAACGGAAGTCGTTCCATTCCTCGTTTACTTCCAAAAAAAAAGAAATTCTTCTCAGATTTTATTATTTTACGAATTTCGAAATTTCTTTCGAGACACCCCTCCATTTTTCTATTTCATTTTTTATGATTTGTTTCAACTAATCCTTAATACAACTCTATTTACATCTTTGTAAAAAGAAATAGTATAAAAAATAAAATAAATACGGCATATTAAAACAATAAAGTTTGTAAAAAACATTAAAAATAAAAGTTCTGTTTGTTGCACCCTGTGTTCAAAGTTCTTGTGCCCTTGCACGTCTTGAGTAATTGGATCCTAACAGCTACCCCTTAAATTTTAAGATAGTCATTGAAAAACTTTTAATATATGTAGTTATATGTTATTTAATTATTGTTTACTCCCGTTATTCATTAGATTTGAGGTTAGCCGACATCCTCTTAAGTACCCCTCTCTCACACTTCAATAATAGTGATTCAAAATTTATTATTTTGATTGAATTTCGGAAAACAGAAATTAGTTTTAATGAGATAATAGAATTGTTGTAGTAATAAATTTTTAAATGGTTTTCGTTGTATTTTTTTCACATCCCTCTCAAGTATAAAATTTTCATTATCAAGTGTTTTATTTCACAGACTTTTTGTAAAATTGTATAGTTGAGAATATATTTGATACAATTTCATTATTTTTACTTTATGAATTAAATACAAGTATAATTTATTATATTTCCATATATAATTATTATAAAATATAAAAAAAAGAGTATAGTTTTTAACATTTAACTGTCCTTTGATGGGCTATCATTTGAAATGCTGGACGGAACAATTTCTTCACTATTTATAGCAGTTTTGATTACGATCGGCGTTTTTTCTTCACTTGGAACCACACGTAACTCTTTACAAGCTTTAAACACTGCAGCTGCTTTAACAGGGTCTACCGTCAATCGTTTTACTGTTGGTATGTCAGGTCGAGGCTTCTGTAATGAGGTCGCTGGTCGCGATTCCATTTGTCCTAAAGAGTAGTTATTTTTAAAAGTAACCTAATATATAAATAATGTAATATAATGACTTTAAGAGTCTAGTTATAAATAACAGATTTTATTGATATTGATTTTTACACTACTAAATGTCGAATAATACCCATAAGTATTATAAAAGCTATTAATTATAAATTTGTGGTATTTATTAAGAATCATATTAACCAGATATATACTATAATATTATTTTTTAAGAAGGATTATATCTTTTTAAGTTAATTCATTTTATCTAATAAAAATATTAAACATATTAAAAAATTCAATTTATGCGCATCTAAATTTTAAATAAATATAGACTTTAATTAGGAAAATATAAGTATTTAAATAAGTTTTAACTGTAAAAAAAATTAGAAATATGCAACATTTTGTTAGTTAATAGAGTAACGAAAAAAATTGTGTCCTATAAATAATTATCAAAAAACAGTATTAATACTACATTAACAATTACTGTAGTTTACAAAAATTATATAATAACCAGTGGCACCAATCTTCAAGTTTCACTAGAGTAGCTGACCTACTCCATTAGGAGTGGATGGCTGGTTGATATTTGTCATATAAATCAACTATTATAAATAATTAATATACTAATGTTTGTTTACTGAAGACTTTATAATCTATTTAAAATTAAATAATATAGTTGATAGAACTGGATAATAATTTTTATTCAATAAAATATTTCATAATAGTTATTTAACATTTACTATGTCAGATATAGTAATCCTACCGATTTATTAACAGCCAGACCGATTATAATGAAATACATGCATGTTATCAGTTGTTATTTGCTTAATAATATTATATTTGAATATGCAAAATATTTTTATTTATTGAAAGAAAAAAAAAAAAAAAAGAGGTAAACTGAACTTTATAAAAAAAAAAAATTAAATCCAACATAATAAAAACTTGATTTTTCGCTCATTTTCTAATATTATTAAATATTATTTAGATATCATCAAATATTTTTTCTTAATTTACCAAAAAAAGGCATTCAACAATAAATAATTTGGTTTTGTAAAAAATTTATGTATCTATCAATTCTTTTCCAATCACTGAAAGATAATTATTAGAATTGATTAATTAAAAAAATGCAATTCTTGAGGGTGGTTGGGGGTTTAAAAATCAAAAAATTGTCCTACTTATTATTTTACTTTGGTGCCACTAATGAAAATGTGTGCATGTAATAACATGCATATTAATATAACAAACATTTTAAAAGCTAAGATTACAGGCCCAACTAATAAAACAATGTGTTTGTTTTAATTGTTAGTCTTTTCTATTTGTGCAAGTAATCTATAAGGATTGTTTACTTTTGTCTTCTGTTAAATAGTTGTTTTGCATTAAATATTATTTAACATTTAACAATAATCTTAAACGTCGAACACTCAATGTAGTCTAATATATTTGTAACAAACATTAACATTATTTAATAAAGATTTCAATAAAAGAAAATCATTTTTAACTGATTAAAAATATAGTGTAATTATAACTTATGACATTGATTAATTAAACAATTCAGTTCACTCCCATTTGACACTTTCGGTACAAAACAATATAAAGAAAACGAAAGCAGAGACATGAATAGATATGAAATCTACACACAAATCATCACATCATACATTTTCTGTTTAAATAATGGCTCATTTAAAATAATCGAAGATTGATAATGATTAAATTCAGTTTTCACTGTGACTCTTATCGACTCATTGTGTTACAGGTTATACTACATAAAGAACAAACATGAACCTAAATATGATTCGAGTTTGATTGTTCCTTTTTTTCCCAGCGAGATCTATTGACAGTGATGAATTTTGTCATAATTTTGTGTATTTATCATAAAATTTCAATAAAATGACTCGTCAAACTTTATAAAGCAACTTAGGATGGAATTTAATAAGTATAAATAAGATAAAATGTTGAATACAATTGCAACTTGATAAACAATTAGACTATTATAGTTAGAATCACTCAATATCCTATTTTAATATTACTATGAATTCTCAAAAGAGTACAGTGGCGGTAATCTTCTATTTGAAGGGGATTCAATCAGATTTTCCTAATTGATATACCTTATATGACATTTTTGTATAATTTTCGTATTTTATATTTTGGATATTTAATAAAATATAGGGGATAAGAATAAACCCAACCAAACCTTTGTCAGTCGTAAGAGGCGACTAATGAGGTTGCGTCAGGTCGACAGTCGTCATAAAATGTTATCGAAATTATGAGGAGTCCTGAACAAAATGTAGGCGATTTGTCCCATCTCAAATGTACGTGGGGAAAACAGGTGAGTAGAAATAAAGTAATTAAAAACGGAGAAGGCTTAAGGAATAAAGTGTTTGATATTAGCTGGACAACTTGTGCGACTGATTGTTTCACAAGTTATGTGTACAGGTCTACTCAACGCTTGTAGTTTCAACGGTTTAGGTACATCACCACTTTACTCTAGGCTGGACTTGTGTAAAAGGGAGAAAGATAAATACAAAATAAGAATAGGTACTTGGAATGTTGGATGACCGACACCAAGTAGTTGGGATTAAGGGGAGGAAAATAAGAAGAGGATATTTAATAAGAAGAATACCATTTATGTAAATCCTTCAATTCACAATAATATTCTGATATAATCAATACAAATGAAAATGATCTTGAGATATGAGATTACAGTGCCGAAGAAATTTTTTATTACGAAAGTTTTTTATCCCTTTCCAAAATCATTTGATCACACTGAAATATTAATTAAATTTTTTACACTTTAATAAGATCTAACAATACAATATTACATAAATAAAGTCTTTTTTTATGAATTAATTCACGAATTTGTATTGTCATTATCAAAAGCTTACACATTTTTCTACCAGCTTATTGACTGTTTAACTACAACTCCCTAATATTGTGAGACAATAAAACGAAGTAATAACATGTTTTGTATCCCACGGACCGTGAGAGTCAGTGCCTCATTTACTTTTGATCTTAGAAAAGGTACAAACAAAAAATAGATTTTAAAATATTTGAAAAAGGAGCAGGTGCACAAACAATGGAAAGCAAAAGAAAAAAACCTTAAATTTCTTTTAAGAGTACAAAGTATACCTACACTAAATGAGTGTATTAAAATCGTTATTTAAGAAAGATTTTAAAAAAACGTTTGAGTAAAATTATTTGTATATAATAAAACTTGATTACTTTTAGCTAATATTATTAAAAATATTAATTTAAAGCTAAACAATATTTTTAATGTTTTATTTTATTTTTAGTTTTAAATAAAAATATTTTTTGTTCAAAATTTGCTTAAGAATAATAGACCCATCATTAGTTAATGTTGTTTAAATACTAAAATTTGTTTATTAGTTAGAGATATTTCGATAATCAGTCAAGTAAAATATTAAAATTATAAAAATTGATTTAATATTGTATTAAATAAATGTTGAGTAAAGACATATACATGAAATCATATTGATTAATTTTAAATATAGTTAAAGTAACTATATGATTACTATAACTCCCACTTATATTTTTGGCTAGCGTTAAAAGAATACAGTTACTGTATACAGTTATTTATTTTTCATTAAACTATAGAAGCATTCATAGGTTTAATGAAGAATAATCGCTGAAAAATCGTTGCTACATCGGTGTTAAGCCATAATTATACTGAAATATACAGGTATACTTAGGTTATTAAATTTGCGAAAATGTGAAAATAATCAGTCATAAAGAGAGAATAGCGAAGGAGAAAGCAGAAATTAATGGTTTAGGGCTGAATAATTTATTTCTAGGATAGATATTCATAACTAAAAACAGTGTGAATTAGTAGCGACACTAAAAATAATTATTCATGTGAAAGATCTAAAAAATGCCATGAAATATAGTAACACGAGTACTAGGTGCTCAATTTGTATGAGTATATCATTTTCACATTACTTAAAGTAAAAAAAAAAACTTACCAGCATGAACTAATAATGTAATATTATTTAGTTAGTATGTTTTAAATTTATATAAGAATAGTTTTGAAAAATGTAATTTCAAAATTAATAATTCAAAATATATACCGTTTACCGTCTCATTCCGAATACCCCGTCTAAATCCCGGAACGTTTTGTTGCAAGTTGTCATCTTGATTTGTTTCGATGTTACGTTGACAACTAAAATGTCTCTTGCAAAAGTTATAAGCTCTACGCATCTGATTCAGACACCAAGACATCTCATTCAATATTTTTGAAAAGAAACCTATCTTGAGAATTTTTCCAAAATAAGGAATCTTTTTTCTTGTTATAATTGTCTTAACAACGGTTGTAAAATAATTTTTTACAGCCAATATTTATATCATAGTCACTTAGAATAACTTTTACGAGCAAAATTATGTTTTTTGGAAACAATTATTACAAAAAACATAATTTCACATGACTATCTCAAATAAAATTGTAGCATTGTATTACCCTTAGTGAAATCAACACAAAAAAGTATAATAAATATTAAATACCCTCAATAGTATTATATTTTTAAACTGTAAGCCGAAAATAAATTATGTTTATATATTAAAAGAATGAGAAGTCTATATTACAATGGTTTTATTAAAATCGTTCAAAAAGTATTTTACTCACAGTATTTAAGGTATTTAAATACCTTATTTATTTTTCGTTTATCTGTTACATACGAGAAATATGAAAACAATCTTCAGTCGACTAAATAAACAGCAAAGGATATTATCGTACATTTCGTTGAACAAACGTTGTTTAACCTCTAATACAATAGTATTAATAGTTTAAAATTGACTACATATATATATTTTTTTTATAAAAATTAACTCGTAGTTTGAAGGTTTAATCGATTTTCAAACGTGAGCAACCTTTCTATATAAATTACTGTGCCATTACAAAAGATGGTAAGTGTCGAATTTGCTAGAGATTTCAACAGCCGACGACAATATGAGAATATTTTACACAATATTGACGACGGAGAGAGCAAACCACAAACTGAAAATACATATACAATGTTTTTGCTCGTGTTGTGCGTGATTTGATATGCGTATCTTTTTGTTTTCTTCGTTTGTACATGCACAGGTATAGACACTGGAAGTGTATTCGGGTCGAGATCACTTGAATGGATCCGTTTTCTCGCTTCCATCATCATAATATCATAATGTGGTGTGTCGATTGTGCCGATGAAGTTTCAGGCGGAGAAAGATATAATATTATTTGAAACCGTAACAATGAAATGATAATTCGTGGGCGGAAAATATCAAATGTTTTAATTCCGTAAGAGATGCATACACAGAAATTTAAGGAACAGTTCTGAAGTAATAACAAAATTAAATTAAATTATAATCCCAGTGTGTGTATGTTCATTCTTATAATTTGTGATTGTATTTTGTACTTGAATATGAATAGAATGATGCATATGCTTACCAAAGAAAATAATAGACATTATCAACGACTTTCTTGACTCGAAAGTCAACTTGCTAGTTATTACCACAATTTTTTTTATTGTTATTCTTAGAGTAATAATAATGATAGTGGATAAAATTACTTTTGCAGTAAAAGTTTCAAGTCAATCACTAAAAAAAACTTATCATTTCTGCGGCGTTTTCAAGCATAATTGATACAACTAATCGTCAATCGATTATAAAATAGCGCACACGTGTAAGTAAAACTTCAACCAATTTAATATAATTTTCACAATTTTTTATTATTAAAAAGTCGTTAAAAACCGTATAGTATTCGAATTTTTTTGAGTTATAGCGTCATGATGTGAAACATCAAAATAACCTAAATTTGTTGTAAGCATGGTAAATTATAAGAAGTTGAAATCAAAATAATCATATTTATTTTAGTTCTATCTTAACTTTAGATTAAAAAGAGCATATCAGTTATTTTTATTTAGATTAATTTTCAATTTATAGTTGTCAAGTTTTCATAAGGATTTTTAGGTATTTCAAACTTATGCGAGATTATTTAAATTCAGATAAATATTCACATTTACAAAGTATTAAAGTATTTTGACGTGGATTTTTCTTAAATGTTGTTCATTTAATAAAAAATGCGAACACTTAAACNTAAATATTCACATTTACAAAGTATTAAAGTATTTTGACGTGGATTTTTCTTAAATGTTGTTCATTTAATAAAAAATGCGAACAGTTACATATGTTGTTTTTCAAAAACTCATGTTTATTATAGTAAAAAACATGTGAACACTTAAATGAAAAAATGTACATCAGTTTTATAGTACTGATTAAATGAGTACTATAATATTGTTTTTTTTTATTATTTAATACAAAGTGAAGAAAGAGTAATAAAAAATAGCTTAAACTTCAAAAAAACAAACTTAAATAAGAAAATTAAAAATAAAGAAAAGTGGTTGTTTAAGGAGAATTGCAATCATGAATACATAGTCGCTTAAAACATTGTCAAATAATGTCAATAATTTTGACAAGTTAATAAACAACACATATATAATAATAGATGTATACAATATTATTAATTCTACTAAAAAAACGATAAATAAAAATAAATTACTAATACTCAAGTCTTTCACGAATATACGTCTTGTTAACTGTACACATATATTAGTCATTTAAACCCAACAAACTTTTATGGGTGTCGATGTGTTTGAACCTCCAGTCGTATGGTAATTAAACGACTGACTGATGGGCGTACTGGAGACACTCGACCAGCGTCTCGTAAACTTATCAACTGGTATTCGACGTGGTGGCAATCCTAATTCGGGATAAGTAGGAGAACTATTGTTATCATGTGAGCTTATCGATGAAAATCCGCTTTCATCTTCAACGGCTATACTGCTCTTTTGTATAATAATGTCTTTTTTGCAAAAGTCTGAATTTTTAGTAAAAGATTCACTATGATTCGAACTGTCACTAGAGATTTCTAAGCATTTCATGTTATTGCACACAGTAGGTAAAGAATCGCAGCTGCAAGTCTGTAAAAATATCATATTTAATAAAAACAATTCTATTAGAATCTAAAAGAATAACAATTTCACTTACCGATAAATTACTGTTTTTATCAAACAAGCTACTATAACAAGGTTGAAGATGTTGGACTAGGTCGGGTTCTTTGGTCTGAATAATCGATTGAACAGTACGGTACAACCTATAAGCCTCTAACGATAGTTTTTCAGTGTGTTCCTCTCGGCTGCTTTTTAACGAAAATCTCCTATTGACATCACGAACATGCTTACTATAACGATTATTATTTGTTTATAATTATAATTTTTTACCTATTTTTAATTGGCAAATTAGGTCTGTCGGGAACTATGGTATTCAATGACGTGTGAGCTTTTTCTAAAAATTTTGAAACTTGTTCTAAAACAGCTTTATACATTTGATTGCTCGATTCGACCTATGCAGTTAGGTTAAATATAACACAAGTTTAAACTAACCATAATAATAAAAACACTCATTATTTAAAAATAAGAGAAATTAAAATCAAGGGGAGAATGGCCGCTTGAAGATTAATAATAGCTGATATTATCTTAAAATATTTTACCTGTTTTAGTTGCCACTGTAGTGTTTCTACTTGGGATTTTGCCAGAGTCAACTCGATGCAAGGAGCTTCCTCTTGGTTCTGCTGGTCGTTAACTTCTTCTTTCCGCTTCAGTTTGTCGTATTTGGCACTCAAATCATCGTACAACTAGAATAAGACAAACAAAGCATTAAAACAAAAAATAATAAGTAATTATTACTCATCAACATAGCCGGAATGTAATTAATTTCGACGAGGTGTTTGGATTAAGAGAGGACGACAATTTATTTAGTTTTGTATACATGTATGCAGGACAAACTCATCGGATAAGTCACGGTTGACAGACCATGTGTGAATCCTGTGTTGTGCGTCCTAAAAGTGGGCTTACTTTTAGCAACGACTACTACGAAAGCAGATTACTCAATTTTTAAAAATTGAAATAACCTAATAACATATATGATCATTTTAATGAAATTTAATTTCAATTCTAATTGATTCTATTGAATGCCATCGAATAGTTTTTTCGATAGACTAGTTAACTTATCTTAACGATTAAATATTTTAAATATGTTAACTATTATAAAATTGCTAATCATATGACCTAATTCATACAAGAAATTTAGTGTTTTAAGCAGAACAACGTATTGCAAATCTAATCATATTATTGATACAACATATATTGTTATGTTAATCATCGTATAAATAAACAAAAAAGAAAAAAAAACAGAGATAACTACCCGCATATTTTTAAAAATATCTTAAAACATAGTTTTAAATAGTCTGAGCAACGTGTATAGAAGTACTGATAAAACTACGTTAGGGAATAACAGTTTTACGTATAACAATTAACGAACTTTGTAAAAGTCGATGTAATAAAATTTTATTATAACATTATTTTCATAGTTGAAGTCACAAATACAAATGAAAACTGAACTTCCTTATTGTAAGACACAAAAGTGATTTTTTTTACATAATTATTGTACCATAAATTTTTAATTTGATTTATAAGACCTATCTTTATATCAATTTCACTGAACGGCTGTACATTACCGTAACTACTAGTGTCGCCTTAAATCAAATAAAACGCTGTATAGAAAAGTATAAGCATTTCATTTAATACAACCAACATAATAAACGGTAAGATAAAAATTTGTTAATAGTTAAAAATGTATAACCCATTTAAACTCGGCAGGGCTGAGAAATAACATCGAGGAAATTCGACGAAACAGAGTAGTAGGATTTTTGTTCGTGAGTTGAAGACCATAAACAAACTTATCAATAAAGGTAATGGTTATTTTATTAAAAAGAGCAGTTGACATTGTAACAATAAAACAAGTCGGAGAACAACAATAAAGAGATGTTGCCACACATAATGAATTCGGGCAATGTATACATACTATGGTTCACCGTCTACTATGCACCACTGAAGCATACCACAGTAACACACGCGAGCTATTATGAAATGAAATAACACAATGGTGTTTTTTATAGGAGAATTATGTTCTCCGACTGTACGTATATGTAATTATATGTATCTATGCACGAACACGAAATAAGCGACATATAGTTTGTTTCTGACGAATCAAAGTGTTGATGGAGAAGCGAATGAAACCTATGGAAATGTTGTGTGGCTACAAGAACGTCTTTTATTTTTTAATCATTATACTAAGTCTGACAGTAGTTGAAACACTTACAGAAAGCCTAAAAATATAAGAGCAACATAGGAGAAATGGGTCAACTTAAGATTAATATCATAATTACTTTGTTTTATTCAATGTCTCACTGATTTCGTACGGTTTTATACATTGTAAAAAATTCGATGACAATCGCGGTCTCATATGCAGACATCGGATATGTTCAGGTGATCATAATAATAATAAAACATTGATAGAAAAGTGGGCTATATTTTATAACAATTGACAAAGAGCCGCCAACGATATTCGCCAGTGAAAGTGAATTATATATTTCTTTAGAAAAGTCTCTTATTTTTCGATGTGCTATTGCCTTCCATAAAAAAATTTTTCATAACAATCTCACTTTCGGCTTTTTACACAAACACATGGTAATCTCTGACGCAACTATGATATACACTTTGAATTCCATAGACCATAGTCTCAATACGTAAGAATGACTATGACATGGTCAAACTAGGAAAACATGCAAATATTATTTGTAATTCTGGAGGAGATTGGCGTAAGAGCAACAACTGGAAATGGCCCACAAAGATTTTAACCGATAATTATTATATTAATGTGGTGTCCCAGTTAAGTGAGATTGTTCGGTAAGAGATCAGTGTTCAATTTAATTCGACGGTAATTTTACCAAAACGTGTACGACATGAATTATTTTTTACTTGAACGGTTTAACGGTGGTTGAAGGTTAATAGCGATTGTAACACTTATCAGTACTTTGTTCTAGGTTTTTTTTTGTTTATAAAATTGTACGAAAAGAAAAACGGTTTGTTATGGCAAATATATATATAAGAAGTATGGACTGTGAAATTGTAGTGGCCATCGCCGTCGCTCTAATATCAAACGAATTACACAATCTACTCACACAAAATACTTTATTGTCATTTTACTGTTTATGATAACAAAACAATATGTAACAACAACAGTCTAATAATAATAACAGTTAATAATATGTATTACGATTACTCAATAAAAATACGATTTATTTTTCATTTTTTCGTATTAAAAATATACTAATGTAATACTTGAACATAGACATAATAAAACTATCATTACATTCGAAAAAATAAAAAAAATGATAGTATTAAAAATAACAGAAAATTTATGGTAAATGATTTTCCAATTCATCTAATACTAAAGCGATTAGAATGTACAGGTTTGAAGAGAAATTCTAAAATGTTCTACATTTAAACATTACTTTTGTGGTAAAATATCATTTAATCACTATACACTTTGATTAAAATAATATTAATTTTATTGAACGAGACAAATAATAATGACAAAAACATGACAAGCAGAATGACTACCATGTTTATTTGTAGTTGATTTTATATTTTTTAGGTATAGATTAACAGCAAAAATCCTGGTTTGTTTCACGTGTGATTAACGATAGCAAATTTTTTTTATTGAAATATAGTCTTAAAAAAAACGAGGATAAAATTATTCTTACAAAAATAGAAACGAATAAGTTACAATGTCTATTTATTTGAACTAAAGGTTTTACGTTAAAAATGTATACCAAGTCATTGAAAAATTTATAATACTTACTCTTTGTAAGTTTCTGTATTCATTTTTAATAAACTCGAAAGATCCATCACTATCACTACATCTGTGGTTTGAGCTTGGAGAACATTTTTCGGTCATCTGCAAGTGGAAAAAAGAATTATTAAAATCCTATTTTAATTAAATCACAAAAAAATGTTCACGTTAAAAACTTAACTATGAGTGACTTCAATGTACACATTAATTTGACACTGTAAATAATAGAAAACCCGTATAAAAACGGTCTGGGCTTTTGTTTGATGAGTTTTACACAGTATATTTATTGTAAAACGCAGTAATTGATTTTTACGGGTAATTTCACCAAAAACAATAAAAAATAGTAATTATTTCAAATTAATATGTATTTAAAAGAGTAGTGTTAAAATGTTTATTTAGGGAGAAAGTCACAGTGAATAATATCAGTATGTTATAAAATAACAATTATAACGATTTTTTATGATCACAGTATAATAATGTAAACAAACAATGGTAATGATTTTGTTTGCTTTGTAAAATTACACGTATTGATGCAATAGACCAGTTTCAATGATACACAATATGTCTTCTCTTCTTATAGTGACTTAACTTACATTTACACGACAAACGAGCAAAATCGATACGTTGGCAATCGGAATAAAAAATAACAAGGTAAATGCTTTGGAGGGATTGCATGTATGTCGTAAAAAATATTGTTTCGTTTTTACTCAATTCATCTTACAAGAGGTATAATGTTATTACCAAACCACTCAATGATTGTTTATGTACCAAGCAGTTGACACAGCGGCTAACCAATAGCTTTCTGCGGGCTTGATAAAGCACTAAAATATGGTCTATGAATAATACGAACCATTAAAACTTTATACAGGTTTCATGGTCTAATAACAAAATACTCATTACAACTACCGATATGCATTATAATTAGAAGAGAGGGAAAGTAGTTTTAGCAAAGAAAGTTACGAATATTTGTTTTTTTTTTTTTCATGAAAATAATCACGAATAATTTAACAATATTTGAAGGTAATTTTTTTCAATAGATCCCTTTTGGAAAGTAAAAAAAATAATGCAAGTACAATAAAAGGTCAATTTTGAAATGTAATGAAAATGTAGGTAGTTTTGTTAAGACTACTATTATAATTATTTTCTTATGTCCTTCTTACTTAATATATCGTTCTTACTATGTAATAAGTTAAATGTTTAAAGTGACCTGATGGTCATAAACTATTAATAAATAACCTCAAACATCATTTGATTACATATACTACAATTTAGAATACTGAATAATAAATTATAAAGAAAAATATATAAAAATTAATTAACATATCCTGTATATGTTAATTATTGACTAACTATGCCTCACGAATTATCTCTGAAAATATAAGAGTTATAAACAATTCTTTTTTTTTAATCATTATGGATCTTTGATGAGCTGTTTCACGAGAAAATTTAAATTTTTACCACCATCCCTTTTGCTTAAAAATAGTGTCAACTTCATATTTTCAAATGGCAACACTATTTTTTTTTTTATACCATTAGATTTAGTTTAATAAAAAAAAAATGTTTTGTAAAAAAAATATTTTATTTTATTAAATATTAAGCGCTCCACGGCTCTCTAAAGTTTAGGGTTTATTAAGAAAAAATCATTACAGACGAGAACATTATGGATCGTAAATCAATAAGCGCTACCACTTCTTATCGGTACACAAAATAATAACGATACTATATTTATCCGACTACTGTTTTATTTGTTAAATCCCCTAAACTTTAAATAGTAATATCTCGCTTAGAATTTATTAAAATTGATTTTTTTTTTTTGAGAAAATTTTTTTTTTTATTATTAACAAGATTAATAAAAAAAAAAAACTGGGTTGCTATTTGAAAAACTAAAGTTGATATTGATTTAAGTGTTGAGGAATGAAGATTGAATGTTCATTTTTCTTGTCAAGTAGCTCAACAAAGATTTATAACAAATAAAATAATTACATATACGATAATACTAATATTTTTAAAGAAAATTCGCGAGGCATAGTTAGTCAATCACTCTGTATTATTGGTCATCTTATAATTTTTCATAACTTATTAAACGGTTATTGTTTTAGAATATCTCTTTAAATTATTTATTAGTAGATCCCATTAGCGAATCCCAAAATAATATCTCAGTTCAAATTTATAAATAATAATTTTTTTATATTTATCATTATTATTATTGTTAATACAATAATAATTATTTTTGAACAATTACACAATTTGAAAAAGAAAACATGTATTTCAATGGCACCTGGACTGAGTCAAAAGTATAAGATGTAAGAATATTAAATGATACTTTGGATTTTACTTGTTTCGTATTACTTACAAAAAACGGTTTTTAATAAAAAATGTTCGTTTAAAATTTAAAAAAGAACAATTTTTAATGAAAAAATTAACAGAATCTTTGGTAAAATAAATCTATTATTATAACACATGTAACAAACGAACTCGAAGAAAATACAATTGATTTGATGGTAAAATAATAATGAATAGAAAAGCATCTTAAAAAAAAAATATATCCAATTGTAATGATAGTTAGATAGTAACGTTAAAATGAACCCATCTACACTCGATGAACTTAAGAATAACCTCTTACTCAACTCGGTAACATTACTATGACTCATTCGCAAATTACATTAGTACAGTACTTCAATAACAAAATGTACATACATAAAACATAAAGGATTTTCTCTTTGTCTTCTTTCCTTACCCAAAATTGACTGTAAAAACTTCTCGTGAGAACAAGTTAACCTAACAAGAATAAATTTATTGAGTCGCTGTCGTCAATTACACAGACAATCGAATAGATACATCTAAAGTACTATTTTCGTTCGATCCGTGTTACCGATGAGACTTATGGTTTTGTCCAACGAGATAAGAATCTAGTGAAAATTATGATTTTTTTTTGTGATTTTGCTATAAAAACTAGTGTTCAGAATATAACGCATTTAATAGGACAACGAACTAGGAAATAGAAATCGCATGGATAAGTTAACAATTTTCAGAAGTAAACATTACACAGAAAATTTACATGGCTAGGAATTTCTGTACAACGGGTAATGTAAAAAGAAAACGGTGAAACTCTGTCGAATGGCGTCTACTGAAGAATAAACCCCAAGTGTAATAATTTTAATGTATAAAGGTACCAAATAAATAATTACGTAGATTAAAGCCGAGCACGACTTGGCTGTTATTACGGTCAGGTTGTGAAGAGGTTCGCATATTATGTTTTTAATTAACACGATTTCATGATGGTTATGAAGTACTGTTGTCTGTATAAATAAATGCGTTGACTGGATTACTTATGGTCGTTTATGTTTATGAGAGCAGTTCATCGGCCTCACTGGTCCAATACATTTATACTCTGCTGAAATGTTCATGGTTATTATTCTTCAGTTGAGTCTTATAACTGAACGCCGGAGTGGTTAAAAAATTATAATTTATTATTTACGATCACCACCGTTAGACCACAAACGATCGAACAACATCAGTAACCAATTTTGTTGTTTATCACATCTGTACAACGTTGTTAAATTTTATTTTTCTATTAACAATTCTGTTAACTACTAACAGTCATAATTATAAACCCGATTGTTACTACATAAATTACATAGTAACTCTAGTGCTCTGTACAGTGCACACTATAAAATAATACAGTAGAAGTTCCACCGAAACGTTAGTGTTCATTTTTTTATGTTGTTTCACAATAAAATTTAAAAATTATTTTTACCTAAAAATAGTAGTTCTTTTGTATTTATTGAAGTAACTGATTTTTTTGTCGCTAAAATTTTTGACAACAAATGATTAGTTGCCGAAAAATGGTAAAAATTATTTGCTGTATAACAACCTTTTAGCGTTTGGGAGTCTTTTGTGACTGTTGCACTATTGATTTTTCATCAATATTTACCTATAATAGGCAATAAGAACATATTGTCTGTAAAAGGAAAGTATAGAATTGTACTACCTAATAAATTTACTAAATAATGCACAATGTGTCAGTACAAGGCTATTGTTGATGGAGACAAATCGAACCTTCAAATGGAAAACTAATGTAGTCAATAAACAACAAATCGCTCAACGTCATAAAATATAAATTCAAAGATAGTTTATTTAAAAATGTATGGAAATTAAACCAATTTTGAGAGTACAAATAGTAAAGAGAACTCTGGTATACAATTTATAATCAGTCAATGAATATAGTCAGAGAAATAAATTAGACGTCCCTTGACCTAACTTTTGTATCTAAATATTACATTTCAAGTACATTGGAACAAATTTTTTTTTTTTTTACTAGTGTTTAAAACCCAAATAAATTGTGTGTATGAACTTATTTTGAAAATAGGCAATAAATAAATTTATCTCAATAATTGTGAAATATTAGTAATAACTACGAGTTTTATAAATAAAGAAATGAGTCGTTATCATTAACATGATACAATTTTTATAATATGCTTTAAATTATAAATTTTTAATTGTTAAGACATTTAAAGGCCTATTAAAATTTAAATAGTTGTGAGTATTATTATAAAAAAAAGTATCTCTTATTATTATAGGAGATTTTTGCATGTTTTTTTTTATAGGGTGTTCAGTAAATAAGGAAACAGATTTCTATTGTTCTCATTGTTTATAACAATTTTCCTGTTTCTTTACTTGCTGAACATTTTGTATATACTTTTAAATACATTTCCGAATATCATTTAACTATAAAATTGATATAAATAAACATAGATCATTTATGTTACATTGAAGTGAATTATAATTAAGTATAATGAACTAGTCACATGGTTTCGATGAATATCATAAAAAACACAACATTTTGATGTTTTTTATAATATTATACGTTTAAAACAAATGATATGATGTAAAAACAAATGTGCTTTTTGGTAACTACTGATGCGTTTAATGAAAAATAGAGTACTGTGAATATATTAAAAAATACAAAGACACTGGACAAAATATAAAAAAAATATTAGGTAAAAACATTAATTTAGAGCATTTTATATAAATATATTTAATACATACACCTTAAGAATTACTTTTTATAAAATAAATAAATACAGTTATCATTGTTTCAGATGAAATTAATTATAAGACACAAATTAACCTATTCTGAAATATTTTGTCAAGTGAAAAGCTCTAACGAGAGAGCTTTAATGTGTTATTCAAACATTTTAAATTTAGCCACAAATATTTAAAGAGTTTAAAATAATAATAAAATCCTTTGACCTCTTAATGAAAGATAATTAGATAAGACCGCTACGTTATTCACTCACTATAAAAGCAATTTTACAGAAAAATTTATCAATTTATTAGTTTTAGTGACCACTGATAGCAATAATGTTCTACGTACATGTCTTTGTTGATAACTCGTATTTTAAATGTAATTAATGGTATTAGGTGTATACAACTTTGAAATAACATTTCAAAATTGATAACAAATTAAAAATAACCGATAAGAAGAAATATGTACAAACCTATTTTATTTCTAGTAATTTACAAGTGTATTTTATGTATTGTTGATAATTTTTCAATGACAGCATTTTTTGAATGTATAAACATTGAACTAGCATAGAATATTTTCATAACTGGTATTAAACATTTAATATCAGACTTTCAGACAATTGTTCGTATCCCTTTAATTAAAATGAAATTCTCCTATGAATTGAATACACGAATAGACTTAGTTAAAATTTACCTTTGCATTTAATATAAATAGTTTGTATTCTTTGTGTTAGCGATTAGATTAAGTTGTTTATATGCGTTTTTGTATATAATTAACGGTATGACAATAATTTATTTCGTGCAATTATGCAAAGACTAAATTTATGCAACTGTTGCAAATATAATCTGTAGTTCTACTTGTTCACTTCATAAATGCGTATTGTATTATTATATGTGCTGTAAATATCACTTAGTATTCAAATCTAATTACACGAACAAGGTGAAATTAATTCCATTGAAATCTTTAAAATATGTTTATAAATGTACTCGTACTAAAATAATGTTTTTTTGTCACATAAGACTAGTCAACTGTTTTGCAAGACATTGTTGACATAAACTACTTAATAATACAAAACAGAGTATATTATATTAGATAGCAAAATTATTATGTATATTTTTAGAGGTACTGTAGAGAACTACCCATCAATTGTGAATGTATTTATATCAATTCGTTAATTTTGATAATTAATGTAATTCAAAAATAATAATTTATGCGACCTTTTCGTTTTTTTTTAAAGATTTAACATTATTTGTGAAGAGTTATTCTCATATCGGATAATATTATTATCAAGATAATTCATTACCTGATGATCGCAATCGCCAACTGTATCCAATTCGAAGTTGAGCGATTTGGCTGTCTCAAATGCCATAGATTTAGCGAATGAGCTTTTGAAGTAATGGTGTCCAGTGTTACTGGACAGGCCGTCGAACGATCCGGACAGGTATTGAATCCTTTCCATTTCCCGCTCAACTGCCTTGGTAAAAATACGATGAGCTACACTAAAAGGATAAGCGACTAAAGTGCTTCCGACGATAACGCAACGTACACTAAGAGGCGACTGACCTCTTGGCCGTGTTCACAGAATTTTTTGTCTATGTTGTAAATCGACGGATAGCGCAGCCGCGATGTCCAGTGTACACTACTAAACGAGGGGTTGGCTTCCGAACTGGAATGCGATTTGTTTACTGGACAAAATAAAAATAGCCTCGCACTGCGATCACACTTCCGCAAAGTCTACTGCAGCAGTGATGGTCAAGTGTATAAATAAAACAGCGTTAACGGACGAAATTTTCAAAATGTCACATGGCCCAACGGTCACTCACCAATGAGATAGACATAACAACACCGCCGGCACGTCCACTTTACGATCACGCGCGTTACGAATAGACCGTTGCCGGCGAATATCTGCTACGCTACGAGAATGTTCATGTTTGAAACGGCCGCGTGGTAGCGCTTTGCCCGTCACTGCCATCTCAGCCAAAGCGACTGCAGTTGCGAGCAATTCGTTATTATCAGTTACTAGCGCGTAAGTACTACTGGCGTGTTCGGCCGTTATCAAATTATCCAACCACAACGGCACTGCTCACACTTCAAATAGTTTTTTATCTGCACACGCATTTTTTTACCATTCTCCCGTCTACTCCGCCTCATTAGTCGATAGCTCTCTCTCGATTATAATGGGTTGACAAATATCAGTCATCAATTATCCGTCCACACTTCTGTTCAGTAAATATCTGTGCTTTCAACGCCCATGACTTCACGCGACACTTAATCTTCACTCGACGCCTCATCTTTCTTTTAACCACAGGACTGAAGCTCTTCTTTGACTTTACCTAAAATGAAATTTGCTGAACATCTTCAAGCTCATATAACACCAGAATGGCGAAAACAATACATCAATTACGAAGTGAGTAATTTTAGAAGAATAATAGTTTCTCTTCTGAGATCAGTAAGGAACGATTCTATGATTTGTTCGATTACAGGACATGAAGGTCATGCTGTACAAAGCCATAGAAGAAGCGCCTTCATCGGAATCTACAGATCAAGAGAGTTTATTTCGAAGATTTACTCAATTCGATGAACATTTTTTACAATATTGCGAGAAAGAATTAGCTAAAATAAATGTTTTCTACTCGGGTGAGTTTTTTTTTTATTTTTCAATTTGAGTGTTTTTACGATGTGTATTTTATTATTAGAAAAACTTGCTGAAGCTATGAGAAAATTTTCTACATTAAAAAGCGAATTAGATATTCTCAGTTCTACTGCTACCAAAATGAAAGACTATAGTAAAAAGAATGGTTTTACAAAACCAAATTTACCTCAACGAAAGGTTCAAGAACTTAAACTAGCTTTTAGTGAATTCTATCTTAGTTTAATATTACTTCAAAATTATCAAAATTTAAATTATACTGGATTTAAAAAAATATTAAAAAAACATGATAAGGTATGTAATGTATTATTATTATAAAATAATATTATGATCTATTTAATATAAATTTAAGAATAAACTTCTTTCAAGTTTCACTTGTAGATTAAGATAAAATAGATAATTATAATGTGTGTATGATTTTTAAATTTGTGACACAATGTAATAAATTGCAAATATTTTTACAATATTTAATTCTTGCTTTATTGATTTTTCTAATATTTAGAAAAATATGTAAGTAATAATAAAATTAATTTGAACATTAATCAAGAATTCAATATAATTTATCTAAAAGATTTTAAAATATTTGAGTATTTTACACTTATGTTTATGGACAAAGCAGTGTTTTTTAAAATCTATAAATAACCTATAATGTGTGTTATTAAAACTTGAAAATTAGTAAGACGTATTAGATGCTATAATTGAAAAATTACTATATTTTTGTTAATAAAATGGTATATAATTATATTATGTTTATAATTGCCTATTCTAGATTGAAAGGTAAATATGTTTAGCTATACAATAATTAATATCTTATATTTTGTATTTCAATGACTTAATTTACTATTAAATTATTATTTGTAATAATTTGAATATATCTTAAATTTGTTTCCATTACAGAATTTTTAGTTTTAGTATTAAAATAGCTGAATCTCTAGTATTTATTATCATTGTTTAACTTTTCATGTATATTAAAACTTAACAAATATATGTCTGTTATATATTAAGTCCACTTAAATAATTATCTTATGATAAATTTAGATTCTTTTGTGTATGGGATCAGTTAGATATTATGTAATGATAACTTAAAATGAAAAAAAAATTATATTGTTAGGTATTAGGTATAAAATAAAGGTATATTTAAGTATATTGAAGAATTTGTTTAATAATTAAAATCAAGGGGTGTATTTGCTTTTATTATTTATAGAGATCTAACTGTTTTATTTAATCAGATTTTTTAAATTATTTTATCATTGAGAATACAGGTGAGATCTGTACCAAAAATATCTTTAGCATGTCCCTGTTAAGCTAGTTATTTTTTTTTATTATAAAAAAATTTGTATTTTTTAGCTACTAAACAAAGAAAGTGGTGCTAAATGGCGTCAAGAACATGTAGAAATATCTCACTTTTACACAAATAAAGATATATTGCGCTTAATAAATGAAACGGAACATACTGTTACTAATGAATTAGAGTTTGGTGATAGACAAAAAGCTATGAAAAGGCTTCGTGTTCCTCCGCTTGGTGAAAAGCAAAGCCCATGGACTACTTTTAAAGTAGGATTGTATTTGGGATGTCTAATAGTTTTGTTTGTTGCAATATTTATATCCGGTAAATATTAAAAGAACTTTTTGTAACTTATTTTAAAAACATTTTCCTTATCATTATTTTTTTTTTTTAGCTACATTTGAAAACAAAACAAATTTGAAACAAGCATTCCGTTTGTATCGTGGGTCATTCCTGTTGATAGAGTTCCTTTTCCTAATTGGCATTAATGTTTATGGGTGGCGTTCTTCTGGTGTAAATCATGTATTAATATTTGAACTTGATCCAAGGAACCATGTAACTGAACAACATATGTTTGAAATAGCTGGAATCTTGGGAGTTGTTTTTGCACTTAGTATTCTTGGCTACTTGTATTCTGAAGCATTGAGTATACCTGCATATATAAATCCTTTATCTCTAATCACTATTTTCTTTCTATTGACAATCAATCCACTTAAAATATTTTACTTTGAAGCTAGATTTTGGCTATTACGTATTCTGGTAAATCAATTTTTTAATATGATCTGTTAAAATTCTGCTTTTAAGAATAAAATACTAATACTTATCACAATATTAATTTTATTTACTCAAGTGGAGGATGATAAGTGCGCCATTCTATTATGTTGGATTTGCTGATTTTTGGCTTGCTGATCAATTAAATAGTTTAGTGGTAGTTCTTCTTGATGCTCACTATCTTGTCTGTTTTTATTTGTATAATGAAAACTGGTATCAGTCTTCAGGTAAAATTTTGTATGATTTTTTTTTTCATTAACTATATTTAAATAATAAAAGAACAGTTGATACTTTTTTTTACATTAGAGGTCAAATTTAATATTGAAGAATATATAGTAACAAAATTAATAGTTGGTTGTATTCCTGCTTGGATTCGTTTTGCACAATGTTTACGGCGGTATAGAGATACAGGAGAAACTTTTCCTCATTTAGCAAATGCTGGAAAGTATTCAACGACATTTTTTGTTGTATTTTCTAGAGCTTTATTAAAAAAATATAAAAGTAATTTTAGAAAGTTATTTCTTTTTAAATATTATATGATTTTTAATTTCAATTTTAATTTTCAGATGATTATGAAGATAATTATGAAAATCCTTTTTTTTACACTTGGGTTCTTTGTGCAATGATTAGTTCTATTTACACTTATACGTGGGATGTAAAAATGGATTGGGGATTGTTTAGTAAACATTCTGGTGAATATTTGTTTTTGAGAGAAGAAATTGTTTATGATAATACTGTAAGTATTAAGTAAATATAACAATAAACATCATACAATAAAATAAAATCAATCTATAATTGTTTTTCGGTTTTTTTCATTTTACTTAGTTGCCTAGAAAATTTTTACTTTGTTGAAGAATTATGTAAGCAAGATTTATTAAGTTTTTTTTTTTTTAATATTGATCAATTAATGTTCAATAGCCAAGCTTTTATTATCGTCACTATGATAAATTTTTCAGAAGAAAATACTAATTTATATATTTTTAAATAATAATTAATATATTTATTTATACACTTTTGTTATAAGTTGTTATATAAGATGAAAATGTTGACTGAAATTAGAGAAATTTATTTAAAATAATTGTCATTATTGAATTTAAAAAAGCAAATTGTGCTTTCACTAAATTAGTTTTTTAGAAATAAATAAAACAGTATGCAAAAATAACCTATGTAAAATTATATTCCAAAAATATAAATTTAATGATATCAAAATGTCATTATTCAAAAAAATGTCAGATACGTATTTTTTTTAAATCTGCAATGATGACATATTTTATTTGTTTGCTATGTATAAACGATTACATAGTATTATATTTGTGTTGTATTGTTTATAAGTTGTGATAAAAATTATTAAAATTGATAGGTGCAATCGGCATAAAAAATATTTTTTTAATATGTTTTATAGTTATATACACAATGATTGATTAAATATGCCTCATGCAATATGTTTGAAAGTATAAATGTATTACAATTTTTTTTCCAGAAGTGAATACTATTCTTTGTTCCATAATTTTCAAAAAAAAATTAGCCCTAATCTAAAATTTCTAATATCTCTTAGTTAAATATTTTTCTTATTTGATAGTTGTTTAAAAATATATGTTTCCATTTAATAAACTATTTTATGATATTATTTTAAAAAGAAGAGGAGGATTAAATCAAATTTTTGTTTCAAATTTATAGAATATAGAATACTATTAATTTTTGAAAAGAAAAAAATTATATTAAGTTTTATATTTTTAAATGCTTTGCAAGGGGTCGGCCTGGCCTAGTGAGTAGAAACTTGTTTTTCGGTGCATAGGATCCCTGGTTTAATACTCAAGGCACTAACGAGATTTTTCTTGTGATTTTCTCATTGGTGATGTCTGGTCTCTGTTGCAAGACGGTCATAATACCCTTTCCGTCCTTTATTGGCCTAGCCAAGAACCATCTTTGACTCCTTAACATGTAAAAGAGGGCCACCGCCCTCTTTAGTATGTTTAATTCGGGAAATAGAAGGGTGTAAAACTGATCATTATTATTATTATTATTATTATTAAATATTTGCGTAAAGCATAGTTTATGTATAAAATAGGAATTATTATGATATTTAACACAAATAGAAATTTTTGTTTTTAAATAAAAATTTGAACAAATAACAATTAAATAATAAATAAAATATATCTATGTGTTAAGAAGTTTTGGTACGCATTGAATTGCATATGGCACAATATTTTTGATGCGAAAACATCAATAAAAATAGTAGTATAGCATAACTTTAAAAATACATTAAGTGTTCATAAATCACAAAAACATTTACACTTGAATGACAATGTTTATAACGAGTATAAATGTTTAATTTAAAAATTCTGATGAGTTATATTTTAATATTATGTTTCACATAAATTTGAACAGACCAATTATAGGATAAATTTAAATTAAAATGTTGATCATTTGTGTTCACTGATTGAACAAAATGTCTGACGAACTAATTAATCCATTGAAAAAGGTTACCGTTGTCTTGTAAGTGTCATTCGATGTTTGAAAACGATGCATGTCTTATGAGCATATATTTTCGTGTGTATTTAGTTTTTTTTAAGTCAGACATCGTGAAATCGAAATAGAAAAAAGACACGAAACGTTTATTTGCTGTAACGAGCAACAAAATAAAACAACGCTCAATTTACCAATTACTATCTAAAATAACATTAAAAAAATTATTTGCATTTTGTTTATAAAACTATCATATGATATAAATTTTATGTCGTAGTAACATTCAATTTTTTAAGACAGATGAAGATAAATAATTCCGCTGGGTACAATATTTATGATAAAATTTTGTTCACTTAATATCGTAATCGTTATTTTTTATTATTATTTTAGATCTACATAATATTTTATTAGTAGTCTAATAGTAATAGTTTTATTTAAAAATATATCTCGTACTCCCACAGATCATTTAAAACTTTATTATTTTTAGCTCATTAAGTTCAGTGATTTTTCTAAACTAATATAATTTTTTTAACTGAAATTACGTATTTTTCGTTACAGTTCATTATAAGCTTAACTAACACATTTTCGTTTATTAGTTTTTTATATTGTTTTTCGTACATCATAAACATTACATCATACACGTGTTCTATGTTATATGAGAACAAGAAAAATTTTGCTCGTTTTTTGACGTTTGGATCGCTTCCATATGCAAATTTGTTCTATTATTTGGTTTTTCGAAAAAAATCATTATATTATTTCACTGTATACTTAAAGAGAAAGAGATAATTTTTGTTTTTTTTTTTCAATAAAAGTCAAATAAAATGTTTAACTTTTTGTCAAATTTGAATCATAATTTACCATATTAAATAATGTAAATTTGATTGATAATTATATAAATTATAAAATTTATATAAAATAATCTTTAATATTTTAATATAAATACTGATAATTTATTTAATTGAGATATAATTATTATTAAAAAAAAATTTATTTTAAGTTAAATATCAAAAACCTAGCTCAAAAAATTATAATAATGTGAATTTAAAACAATTTTTCTAGGGATATTATTATTTTGCAATCATTGAAGATTTAGTGATCAGATTTTTTTGGATTCCCCAATATTTACTAACCAGTTACGGTTGGATAAGTACAGAAATGTCAATATCTATAGCTTCACCTCTAGAAGTATTTAGGTAAATAAAAGTCATTTTATTTTGGTTTTCAATTATTGATTTTGACCCAATTTTTTACTCTTTACTAATAAGAAATTTTATGCATTTTCAGACGTTTTGTTTGGAATTTTTTCCGTCTAGAAAATGAACATTTAAATAACTGCGGTAAATTTCGAGCTGTTAGGGACATATCAATAGCCCCCATAGATTTTTCAGACTCTGCTCAAATAGTAAGAATGATGGATGATGAAATAGGTATAATGAATAGACGTAAACGTAAAAGTATACCAAAAAAAGCATCCAAAGAAGATAAAATTCAATTAATAGTTCCAAACAACACAACATATTCTTTAGAGTTATCTGAATAATCTTTGTAGTAGATGTTTGTTAGATAATATTTCCTATAATTTTATTGCTTTTAAAAATATTATTTTGTGATAATTATATTTTTAAAATAATACTTTATCCGATTATTGTATTTAGTAGATATATTAAGCTCAATTTAAAATTATTTCAGGATTGAGTTTATTTTTAGTAGAGTGTCTTAATTTATTTTTACCAATAAACATTATTTTCTAATGTATATTAGTTATAAATGTCAAATATATTTTGTATTTTCATTTAGAAGTTAAATTTTCTAATAGATAAAATTTTATTAGTCTGATTTTATAACATAATGAGGGTATAAAAATAATAACTAATAGTATGCAATGTAATGTGATATTTAGCTTAATGTTATAGTACTTAAAATTACAATCAAATGAATTTTAATTTTAAAATATTGCCGTGATACTAATGGGAGTTGGTCTTGGTAAATGTATATTTCTTTTATTTTACATATTATAATCGATCAGAAAAAGTGCTACAACTTATTCTTTTGGTTAACAGATTTTGTAAATTTGTACTGATTATTTTTATATTCCAAAATATGTGGTAAAACTATTGTGATTTATTTAAACAATTTTTCAATTGTGACATATTGTATAAATCTTTTAATTTTAATTTTATTTGTGTTCCTGAAGCATTTTTAAATTAAATTTTAGATTATATTAGTTAGACTTAAATAAACTTATATAGTATAAGCAAAACTATATTTCCTCTGATAAATAATCATTGCTACAATATTATTAAGTTGAATGTAATATTTAGACATTGTTATTAATAATTTTAAAATACATAACTTAATAATATAACTAGATATTGTGATGTATATTTTAATCCTGATTTATTAATGTAAATAATCATTTGATTTTAATTAAGTTATTGTTATATGCTTAATATGTCCTATGCGTATTAATTATTTTATAATTGTGTTAAACATCAAAATACAAATATATTTTTTAGAATATGTTTAATAATTTTTTTTATTTAACAATAATATTTTAAATTATAATCTTAATGTAATGTATTATTAAGTGATAATAAGCTGTGATTTTAAGCTTATATTTTACTTATTGCTATTGATTGATTAATAAATATTAAGACCTTTAACAAACTAATTTTAATTTATTTTAAATTTAAGCAGCAATTTTTATAGTGAAAAACCTACCTGAATTAAAATCATAAATACGCTACTAACAATAGTCAATTATCAACTTAATTATGTTGTGTCTAATTATCATCAAAGTTGATTAAAATTACCATAGTTTTTAAGATTTTAGTTTAAATTTTGAGAATCTATAAGTGGAAATTAATAAATCAAAAGAAATATTATAAGTTTGTAAAAAAAGATTTGAATAAATTTTCATATAAAGGATTAATAAAATGTGCTTTTTTACCAAACTAAAAATATATTACGTCTCGTTTACGATTAAAAGCTTTATTTCTAAAAGTGTTTATTTTTATTTGAAGTTTAAAGTATTTATTACACTTACTATTATTGTCATATAAAATTCAACTATTTATTGTAATATAGCATTGAACATGATGTATTTTCTTAATGTTAATAAAAAAGGCGTTGGAAAAAAAATTATATAAATAACTGTTGTGTACCCTTTTTTTAATTTTTAGTATTCTTTTTTACTGATTTTTTTTTTTTATTGGATAAGTATTTTTACTACAAAATGGACATTAAACGAATATAATTAATGTTATCTATAATTGTGATATTCTTTCTCAAAACAGACTGTGTATTGAGTTTTGTGGACATTTTTAGATAGCATGATATTACTATCGCCTCCTGATTAAAAAAATATATTTAATGTATATATAATAATATTTAAAAAATATATTATATTTATTCAATGAGAAATATGAATTGATTATTTTTAATACTTTTGAGTAGTTACAATCGGATAGTCTTTAGTAGGTTCTTGAAAGATTACATTAATTTTTGAAGTCATATTATATACATTTTTTGTTACAATGTAATTACAAAAATACGGAATTCTTGATCTTATTATAATACAAACAATAATATTTATATAAATTTGATTAAATTTACTTTTTGATAAACTCAAGAGCTGCGATTATTGTTATTTAAATTGTAGTTTGTGCTCTATTAATGCTATTTGTTTAATATAATTGATACAAAATATTTAGCTAAAAGATTTTATGAGACATGCTATTTTATACCATTTAGAAGTGTATACCTATGAATAATGATATGATAATGAAAAACTTTGTTTGTAAAATCTTTACTTAGTGTAGCTATTGTCTATTAAATAGTAAATTGATAGAAATATCATATTGTATTTACAAAAACTGAATAACAATTTATACGTCAAATATGCTTGAAAAGCATATTTAAGAAACTCTAATTGTTTTAATGTAAAAAGAATACTTTTTTTTACGTCAGTAGATATGTACAATGGGATTTAAGTTCACGTGTTTAACAAATAATCTGCTCTTTTGTTTCAATGTTAACTTAATGCGGCATAGCTTATCGTTATTGTAAATTAAAATTAGATAAATATTTTACATAAAGCAAATAAATTTAATTTACTGAGAACTATATATGGGTAATAAACATCCAATATATTGTATTTATTAACCAAAAAGTAAAATTTCACATTTGTAGCCTAGATACAATATAAAAAAACGTTTTAATTTTAAATTATAAAATGAATCATGTATTTATACAGAGTGTGCAGTAATTTAGGAAACGAGTCAATTGTTACAAAAAACCCAGCACAGTGGGGTGACGGNAACACACATATTAAATAAGAAAAAAAAAACCCAACACAGTGGGTGTGGCAGCACAGTGGGGTCGTGGCATAGTTGGGTCCAGTATAGATGATATCTGACAGTGATTAAAATCACTATCATAAAAAACGCTTCAATGCAAATCTGTAGATAGTATTTAATTAAAAAAAAAAAATTTGTCAAAAAAGCATGTCAAATGAGAGCTGAGAAAATAAATAATAGCTACAAAAATAAAATCACTTAGTAAAATAATATTAATATGAATTTCTTCTCACGAGAGGAGACTACAGTAATGGAATCCTTGATATTTATTGAAGTTATTGAATCTAAATGAGATAAAAATCAAATGAGTTAAACATTTTTTTTTAACTCAAAAAGAATTAAAAAAAAATTCAGTGCCACAGTCGTGAAAGACCCAAGTGTTACCGTCTCAAAAACCGTACGTCTCATTCGTCACTTAATATAAATGGAAATTTAGCTAGTTCAAATTTTAAAGTTATTTTTCTCGGCTTCAAAGAAACAAAATTTAAATATGATTAATATTTTATACTATGTCATTTAGATTGATATAATATTTATGAAAATCAGTGTAATCCCCTTATAATAAAATAAAATACAAAACCTAGAATTTTAATAGAAAAATAGCATATTTTTGAATACGGTAGCCATTTGCTCATAAAAGATAGGTCGTCGGGACAAATTTTTTTTTTCATTTTATAGTACATAAAATAAGCTTTAATTTGATATATATTTAAAGGACGCAGTATTTCCGAAACATTTTCAAAAGTTAAGTTGAAAAAGTTAGTTTTTGTAAAAAAGGTGCTATTTTAAATCCCCCCCTATGAGCAGAATAAGTGTTAGTCTTTCAAAAAAAAAATGATATCAAATGAAAGGAAATTACCTAAGGTTTCAATATAAAAAAATATTATTTTGATTTGTTAATATTTGAAAAAGTTATGGCAGTTTTAAGTACAAAAAACATCCTTATAGAAGGCGATTATTATTGCAAATATTACATTTTTTTTTAAATTTCAACAGCAATTTGCAAATTTTTAAGTTGTAAATTTAAAATCGAAAATCGAAAATTTTAACACAAAAATAGCGTTTTTTTTAACTATGATAGCCGTTTACATGCAGAAGATAAAGTGTCGGGACAAATTTTTTTTTTTATTTTATAGTACATAAAATAAGCTTTAATTTTATATATGTTTAAAGGACGCAGTATTTCCGGAACATTTTCAAAAGTTAAGTTGAAAAAGTTCTATTTTTTATACAATGTTTCAAGTTTTGAACGCTCCCTATATATGGAGAAATTATCCAATTTTAATATAAAGTATGTCAAATGAAAGATGTACTTATAATGTATTTAGAAAAAAAAAAATTTGTTCTGATAATTACATTTTTCGAAAAGTTATAGCATTTTTAAGTTGAAAATTTAAAATCGAAAATTTTAACACAAAAATAGCGTTTTTTTAACTACGACAGCCGTTTACATGCAGAAGATAAAGAAATCGGTCCAGTGAGAGCTGAGAAGAAAAAGGCAACAGACATAAAAAAAAAAAAAAACACATCATAATAAAATTAATACCTTCTCAGCTTCGCATCGAAGCTAAAATAAGAACAATAGAATCCTGTCTTCTTACTTATTAAACACTATATTTTAGCTTCGATGCAAAGCTGAGAAGGTATTGGTTTTATTACAATGTGTTTTTATTTTATTTTTTTTGTGTCTGTTACCGCTTTTTCTCAGCTCTCAACGAACCAATTTCTTTCAACTATACGTCAAAAGATCACAAATCGTATCTAGTCAAAGACATTACCCAGATAAATTGAAAAAATTTCCCCCGTTCCCCGTAAATGGGGGAAACCTCCAAAAAAATTACAAATTTAAAAAATCGCTAATTTTCGGAATTTTTTCAATTTTTTTACTTAAAACTGCCATAACTTTTTCAAAAATGAACATATCAATATAATTTTTTTTTAAATAGATGCTTGATGTCTTTACCTATCATTTGGTAATTTTTTTTATAAATTTGACCCTAGACATGCCCACAGGGAGGGATTTAAAATGACAACTTTTTCACAAAAAATTAATTTTTTTAACTTAACTTTTAAAAGTGTTCCGGAAATACTGACACTTTTATATATATATATCTTAAATTAAAGCTTATGTAATATACTTTATTATACATTTTATGTATAAATATAATTTTCATGGTCTTTATCAAAAGCATATTAATGTTATTTGTATGTAAAGAAAATAATAGATTAGAATAAAAAACATATATAAATTATTTTAAAGTTTTTATAATTTTTCGAGTTTATTCTATAATAATTATCGTATTTGTATATATTAAGATAAAAAACTCAGCACAGGGGGGTCCTGGCACAGTGGTGAAGTAGCATAGTTGGGTCAAGTACAATGACATCTGACAGTAATTAAAATCACTATCATAAAAAACACTTCTATGCAAATCTTTAGACAGTGTTTAGTTTTAAATAATTGGTGGATTATTCCAAAAGCTACATGATCTGCTATTTCCTTATTTATATCCTGATTAAGATAATATATGTCGAATAAAAG